TCACAGATGGTTGCTCTCTACACATCATATCAACAATACACCGACTGTGCTGACCCGACCAAAGAAATGAAACAATCAATTACAGGCCACTCATTCATGGGTCACATGGTCTTTGTCCCCTGCGGGTCAATTCTCTCCATGACGGAGAATATTCTCTATGACATTAACAATTAGGGCATCAATGGGCTTCAACGAAGATAAGTCAACGAAAATAAAAAAAAGGTAAGGCAGATCTGCAAAGCACCATCAAAACCCAGGGTTCTCGAAAGGAAAGTTAAGGAACGCCACCTAGCCCTTGCGCCAAACAGCAAGATGCGAAACCAAAGTGCTCTTGCTTTTCCTGGAGCAACTGCCCCTCTTGAGGCAACACATGACAGAAGGAAATTCGGAGATGAGAGAGGGACATAAAAGGAGTGGTCAGCGTCCGGTGGACACGCCAGGAATCTGAGTACCAGCTGGCGAGACAGGACACAGAACCAAGAGGGAAAAGACAAGAGGTAAAGGAAACAATGGACGGTCAAGGACTGATGAGAGACAGAGGAGGAGCGAACGCCGTCCACTGCCTAGGGAATCGGAGCTTCGGTAAGGGGATGGAGGGAAAAGAAAAGAGAAGGTGGTTGGATGTAGATGGAGAGCCGAACAGTGACGGCCTAAAACACGAGGCATATCTTCGACTAGCGAAAATGCGCTTGCGAGTTATCGTGATTCGATTCATTAGTCATGTTTGAGCGAAGAACGAATGGCCCCTTAGCAGGGCATCACTCGAATTTCCCCAGGTCAAGGGGAGGTGGCGCCCACTCCAGCTTAGGGGGTCGGTCCGTTGAAACACACACAGCGCCAGATCTCATCTTCTCCAGCTTCTTGCGTTCTTTCGAGGCGCTGCCACTGAGGAAGCCGCGCAGCGTTGATGAGGCTGTTCCGTACGTACTCCTCGCACTAGCCCGAGTACTGGTGGAGACCGTACTGGAACTGCGGGCACTGCGGACGCTGCTGGACTTGCTGACCGTGGATGGTATAGGAGGCACAGGCACCGCCAGACGAGAGGATGATGTGCTGGAGCCAGTATACTCTGGGGGCAGCATGTGAGGAGCATAGCCTGGGACCGAGAAAGGAGCCGTCTGCGGGCGTTGTCGGAGCTCAGCGACCAGGCTACTCTCCGCATCAAGTCCCTTAAACATATCCAGATGGTCTTTCGGGCTCGTGGGCTCAATCTCCGGCGGCAACTGCACGGGAAGCTCCGGTGGTGGCTGGATCTCGGCTTCCGACACTGCCACATCTAGTTTCATATTGTCCAGCATCAACCCAAGGCTTCCGGCTGTGGTGGGGCGTCCGTCGCTCGAAGCGTCATCGTCCAACCCGGTCATATCATCTTCGATACCGTGGGCCAAGTTGTAGTTACGGTACAGATATCGACGGAGGCGAGCAACCTCACCATCCCATTTCCGGCTCAACGACTGGAGAATAACCTCGACGTCTTGCTGCATGAGGGGAGATGTCTCGGCAGGAACACTCAGGCTCGAGGCTACTGAGGCGCCGGAGCGGTGACCAGACGTTTGCTGCTGTTTGGACGACTTACTGCTCGTCTTTCCATTCATGGCGGCATGTAACGAACGACGGATAGAGCTGGTTGCCGAGCTCTGCGCAAGGCTCACATCCCGCTTCACGTTCCGGATCTCACGCCGGACCCGCTCGAGCGATTGGACCCGGTCACGATCCATGAATGACAGACTCAATAGGGATCTGTTCCGCTGCAGCCCATTTACCAGGACCGTGAACGACTGTAAGTTGATGTCATTGTTCTCACAGTATACTTCACGGAGACATTCATTGTCTTCCAGCACCGAGGCCAGAGTGTTTGCCCCCTGCAAGCCCAGTTTCTGATGCTCGATCCTCAGAACTCGCAAGGACTTGTTCTTTTTCAGACCAGTCAGGGCCAGATTCAGACCAATTCCGAACCGAGCGACATCCAAATGAGCGCTTTCTCCACTGATATCCAAATCTTCAAGCGTCTCGTTCTCCTCGAACATCAGCTGGAGCGCCTTGCACGTCTCAGGGCCGGCATCATACGGAAGAGAAGCCTTGGAGATGTCCAGGCATTTCAACGTCCGGTTCTTTCGCAAGGCCTCCACCAACTCCTGGAACTGCTCCTCCTTTTTAAAGTCAATCATCCTCATTGACATATGAGTTGGTGTCTTGTTTTGCGCAATGGCTTTGAAAAGGTACGAGCAGCCTTGATCAAGGCGGTTCTCATTGACGTGAAGATGCAGATCGCGAGGGAACCCGTTGGCTGTCATGGAATGCAGGAAGATGGCTACATCCTGACCGCTGAGTCCACACTGGTCCAGGCGAAGCACCCGCAGACCCCGAGATCGGTCACTGGCCAGATATGTGGCTATGGCATCGACAGTCTCCCGGTTTACGAGGGTCCGGCTCAGTGAGAGTTCCTCCAGGCGCCAGTTGAACAACGTCTCGGGGGTGATGAGAGGTTCTGTGCCCGAGGTGCGAGAGATACGAGACAAGTCGAGCGTCTTGATCTGACTGAAGTAGCCGAGGTACTGCTGGAGGATGTCGGGGCTAAGGCGACCCTGCACACCCGAGATGTTCATTGCCTCCAGAGTTGAGGACTGAGCGACGACCGTAGACAGGAGAAGGTCAAGATCGTGAACTGACAAGCCACAGTTGCCCACCTCCAATGCTCGCATGTGACTGGACCGTTGAGACGAGGCATCCACGAGATAGTCGAGATCCGAATCGCCCAGCTTGATACCGTTCAGCACCACCCAGTCAACACTCGTCAGCTCTCGTCGGCAGATGGGGAAAATCGCTTCAGGGATTCCACATCCTGGATCATGACTTTCACTATCCGACTTCGGAATGCGGCTCAGGGTATAAGAGAAATCCAGGCGGCGAAGCCACTTGCTCTTCAGAGTCAACGCACGCACTTCCTGGGACAACACCGATAGGTTCTCCTGACCCGGGATATGGATCGGCGCCCCAGCACGACTCAGCAGAGCGTCTTTATCCGGGCCGTAGAGGTCGCGTAGGCCTTGCAGAACATCCAAGCTGACTCCACTAAATGAGATAGACCGGAAGGATTCGTTGTATCGAAGGGCTCGCAGAACGGCTATCAGTTCTAAAGCCATATACTTCTTTTGCCGAGCGGAGGCGGGCGGTAGGAGCTTGAAACACGGGGCATCATCGCATTGCACATCAATGGTATATCGAATGTTCGAAGTGTCGATGTCGTAACTGGCCGAGTAGGCGACCAATGTCCGGTCGAAGCAACCATAATCTTCGTCCAAGCTCACCGGGGGGAAGTTGCTCTCGTTATCGAGGTCCCGAGGAACGATGAAGTCATACGGTTGTTTGATCCACAAGGGACGTAAGAACTCGGTCTGTTGTCGAATCCAGAAGGCAATCTCCACGGAATGCACCGATGCGAGGAAGACCGAGAACGGTTTCCGCGTTGGCACACGGAACGTTAGATGCAAGCTATCGTCGCCCCATTCCATGGAGAGACAGGTCAGGTTCATCAGTCCGAATGAGGTTGCCGCATCGAGGTCACTCAAGGATACCACGGAGCTGCGGCTGGAGATCTTGTGCAACGGGATCAGGTGGAGCTTGTGCGACCCAAGGGCGAGATAACAGCCCGTCGGTGACAGTTTGGTGAGATCTTCGGATGACGCCCGGGCAGGGGACTTGCTGGACGCCATCTGGATCACCCGGAACATTCGAAAGGTCTCTGGATCATAATCCCGCTCGTACTCGAGCATGCGGACCACGCAATCCGCCGTCTTCTGGTCAAAGACCAGCGGGTCGGCCCCGCGGATCAATTCCGCCGCGGAGCGTATGCCCACCATCCACAGATTCAGTTCCTGGAAATCGGGCGTCTGCATCTGAATGAAGGTGGCTTTTTGAGCCCGTTCATCCACATAGGCCACTTCCACTGTAGACGACGGTCTGCCATCGTCTAACATGTAGACCGCAATGATGCTGTTCAAGGCAATGCCGGAAATGGACTCGCTCGCAGCGGCTAGCTGGGGGTCCTGTAAGGAACTGATGGAGGCGACGGACTGGCGGTTGGCCGCCACTGAGCGGGAGGTGAAGGAAGCCGGAATTGAAGGAAACATATCGGCGGCTTTGCTTTGGTTCTTGAACCGGACGAGATGCGTGTCCGTCAAAACCAGGTAATGGCTCTTCTTTCGCCACATGCCTCCTGTGATCGAGATCTCCCCGTGGTGCAGGATAATGGAGCCAATGCCTTGTCGCAGCTCGGGAGGGTCCTCATCCAGGGACGAGCCTTTGGAGCGGCCCAGCGACCGGTCGTCATCTTCTTGGGAATGCAGCGAGCGAAGGGAACCAAACACGGAGGTTCGTCGTTTCTGTATGGATTTCCGCCGGCTACGAGGCCCCTCAAGCGCCACGGTAGGCAGCGCGGTCACGTAGGTGGCCGACTCGGAATCGGCGGTGCCGGGACGACGCAAGCCACGGGTGGGCGTGGCTCTCGGGGGACTGGGGTGCCGGACCCCAAAGAAACCCGAGTTACGTCGCGATTTCTTCTTCAGAACCTGGGCATCGTCGGAGGGCGACCGTTCATGAGCGGCGGGGGCGGGAAGGGAAGAGGTGGTCATTGATGGGCTGAAGACGCTCAGGCTCTTTCTCCGCTCTTTCTTCCCCAGACTCTCGGCCATGACGGGGGGGGAAGCAGGAGGGCGGAGAAGACGGTAGAGGAAAGGGACGAGGACGCTAGAGGGCGAGACGAGCAGGAGCAAATTGGAAGTCAAGGACGATGTGCCACATCGAGGAGGCCGAAGTCGCCGGGGGGAGGTCACTAAATGGAAGAAAACCGGTAAGAAAAAAAACAAGGCCACCGACCACTGGGGGAGGAGCATGATGGGACGATAAGGATGGATAGACATGGCTGCAGGCCTAGCCTAGGAGATTGAGACCCCGGTGGTGACTAGTGAACTAGAGGGGTGGAGCAGGGCGAAGGAGCACAAATGAGGAGCTGTGGAAGGGAAGAGGGGGAGGAAAGGCAGGTGGAACATACAGCAATCGGGCCAGCTGCCATCGATAGGAGGTGAAGAATCAAGATGGACGCGCAGGGAGGCGGCACGATTCGACGTGGCAATGGAAAATGGGAAGAGAAGGGGAAAGAAGTCAAACGGAGACGGGGGATTGGGGAGAGAAAATGGCGCAATTTGAGATTGGGCGCTTGGAAAGAGAGAGAGAGAGATGGAGATGGAGAGAGAAAAGAGAAAGGGAAGCAAAAGAAGGCCAAGGAACAGTCTCGATACCAGATGAGACAATCAATGAGATGAAAGGCGACAGGGACAACCTTAGGGTAATTCGTAACTAAAGTAGAAGAATAGAAGAGAAAGAGAATAATCAGAAATACAATGGGACCCGAAGAAGAGCTTAAAGAATACGTCGAGGGGGGGAGGAGGAGAGCAAAGGAAAAGAATGGGGTGGGTTGAGAGAACCGATAGTAGCGAGCGAGCGGAGGACTGTCAATAAAAAAAAGTACGAAATTGCAGCAACACCAATGCGATGGCGATTGAGATGCACGGAAGAGGAGAAATGGAGGGGGGATAAGAAAGAACGTCCAAGCACACTCCGGGGCAACCAGGGACGTAAGAAAAGGTTACAGTCTAGGCCGTGTCAATGGGCGAGACAACGCAACACCCTCACCATCAGAACACCGGAAAGGGGAAAACACGAGAGGAGAGTGAAGAGAGAATCGACGAAAGCGGACGAGGCGCACAAGATAGAATGACTGCTTATCTTTCCTTTCTTTCTTTCCTTTCTTTCCTGTCGTGTTTACAACGTCAACGTCTCAGTGACCCAAAGAAAGCGATTGTTTAAGCGGGCCCCAGTGAGGTGAAAAGATTGGATCGAACCAGTTCCTGAACGGCAGGCAATCCGGAGAAAATTGAGCTCAGGAACTAAAAACTGCTGCAGCGCGTCTTTTGGGTTTATGATGTCAGCGCCCGGAGCTTCTTCGGATCCCGCTGAAATAAGGAATCAAATTCGGGGATCCCGAGTCTGTACTCTCTGTGTGTGTGTGTGTGTGTGTGTGTGTGTGTGATTGATGACAAAATAAGAAGTAGAGACTGAATGAGTACGAACTAGTTGACTAACTAGGGAGAGAGGGGAAGATCCGATTTACAATTCCCTAAAGAGAGAGAGAGGAAGAGCGAAAGACAAGAGGGAGAGGGAGGGAGAAAGGGAAGATGGGAGGAGAGAGGAGGAGGAGGGGAGGAAGAGAGAAAAGAGTGGGGAAAAAGACTAAAGGGACGAGGGAAATGACGGATCAGGGGGGGTACGGAGATGGAGAGATGGAGATGGAGATGGAGAGGCAATATGGAGCAGACAAAGAGAAAGCAGAAAAGAATGAGCAAATGATGGTGGCAATGCAACAGCACAACGAAACACAACACCATGAATGATGAGCCAATGTGGATGGATTGACATGACGAGGCGAGGGAGAAAAAGAGAGTTTAGTTACTTCTCACTTCCAGTTACTCTCTCCGGAAAGCCGATCATCCCAAGCTGGCCGAATGCAGTTTGTGCTTTTTGTCTGGAGATGGATTCTCTCTCTCCCTCTCCCTCTCTCTCTCTATACACCTACACAATCACTAGTTATCTACGGAGTACTGACTACTACTACTACTTCCTTCCTATCTGACAATCTGACTAGGATGAATCACCAGGATGCAACTGCACAGGATGCGCAGGATGAAAAGAAGCGTAATAACTTTACTTCTCCTTCCACTTCATCCCACTGGCCGGTTTATTATAGAAGCAGCCGCCAACTACTAACCGCCGCCTCACCCGTCCGCCTCTCTGGGATTGCTTGTCCTGATTCCACTAGAGAGAGACAGTCGGATGGCAAACTGATTACTTCAGGAACCACACTAACCGGTCCTTTCGTCTCCCTTCGACTCCATCACTAAACTACTTAATAACTAACTAATCCACTCACTAACTGTCCTTGATGCTCATTTCCCTGTCCCACCGTTGCCCCCCCCAGATGGAGCCCTTTTTGAAGCCGATCGCCGGTGGATTGAAACGCGTTCGAGAAGCCGATCTCCAGCCGCGTACACCCATGCAGGACTGGCCGCCTTCCTCTCTCACTCGCTTTCTCGATTTCTCATTCCTCATTCCTGCTCCGGGGCTCCACTTGCATCCTTCCCTCGCCCTGGCTAACCAGCTAGAATGCTTGCTAGATGACTTAGTAGCTACGGAATAGCTCCAGTTGGCCACGGTCTGGAGCGCTGCCAACATGACTGACAGCTGGGTAAAATGAACTTCGGGGTGATCAACCGATTGGGAGGTCGCCTGCATTTGGGTTCATATTTTCTTTTCTTTTCTTTTTCTTGTTCATTCTTCATTTTACGGTGTGCACATTGTTCCCACCCAGTCTGTCTGTTTGCATCTATTCATTCCCCTCTCTCTCCACCATATGATCTAGGCCCCCTTGTTCCTCCCTAGTACTCTAGGACCGACCGACCCTAGATGAATACGAGAAAAGAGACAAAAAATAAAAGGCAAAGGAAATAAAGGGTGCAATAGTCCTGTTCTTCAGAAACAGAAACACCCTGTCAACTGGATCACTACTGCCCCTGAATCGAGGTCGTCATTTGGAAATTAGAGATCTACTGGCGTACACAAGCGGCCGATTCACCAATCTGGAGATCCTCCCGTAATCCCCACTGCGGCCGTTCGGGGACTGCAGCAGCATCGCTTCTGGACTTTGCTAGACTACTAGCTAGCTACTCTTAGCCAAACCCTCCCCCCTCCGCCCCCCCTCTAACCGGCTTGTCCACAGCCCGAACCTGGCCCGAAGGGTATCCAGTATGTTCCAGACTGGGCTGTCGTCGTGTTTCGCCTGAACCCTTCAAACACGGAGGTTGAGATCAGTGGAGAACCTCAGGTGCCCGACCTGAGGGAGAAACGGACTCAGCCTCTCCGGACATACTTTTAGCAAAGCGAGACAACGCCCCGACCGACCGATGTCTTCCGATAATTTGCCTCTCACAACCACTGACATTAGAAGATGACTTGAGACAATTGGGTCCGTTGATTGATGTTGGAACTATAAATCTTTCAACCTTCAACCCGGAAATCAACTTTGTCGGGCATTCCCATCCATGCCTCCTGCTTACTCCAGCCCCCGCGCGGCTCTCTCCGCTTGTAGTTTTTCGAGCCGTTTGACCTTGCGAACATATTTAATGTATTCATCGACTCTGCGCTCCGCCCAGATGCACCCACCCAGCGTCATGGCTCCGATCTGGAGAAACACTTTGAACTGGGGCGTCAAGCCGCGGTAAATCTTCGAAGCGGGGGATAGCCACTCCGAGAAGCCCTCCAACGGGCGATAGAACAGTCGCGAGCGGAGGAACTCTTTCGAGAAGGGCGATTGCTTCGGCGGAGGTTGAGACGGGGACTGCGATGGGACGGGGGCGGACGAGGGCGACGAGAACTTGAAAGGATGAGGGAGGATCATGATCATATGCGCCAGGATGGAGACAGAGCCGAACTACTGCTGTCAATACAGCTGCCTTTTCCCCATTTACTCTAGCGCTTCTAGCTGTGCAGAGCAGATGTATAGAAGGAGAAGAAAAGACATACCCGAAAAACACCGGTCATGAAGCCGCGGACAGCCTCGGAGGTGATTTCCTCTGGGGGGTCGACATTATGTCGCTGATCCGAGGGTGGTGGCATTTCAAATATATGCAGTGGCAAAAAGGCTACCACTACTTCCGTAGATACAGAATAAAATAAAGAAAAAAAAGAAGAGAAGAGAATAAGTAGTTAATGCATGCACAGCGGACAGAAAAACGACAGACAGACAGACAGACAGGCGCATGGCAGTTCTGCAAACCAATGACGCACAACCCAACCCAAACCCCGACCGACTCGGGTCAACGAAATGCCGAATCATACCTTCTGCCGTACTGTAAACCAAATTAGTAAACCAAATACCGACATCTCCGCGGGTCCGAAACCGCAGTTCGAAAAAAGAATCCTGATCAATCAGCGGGATCGATTACCAACTAACCACCAATTAACTATCCACTACTCAATTGCCTCCGAGATTGTCTACTATCCAACATCATCACACTCTCACCAATATAGACACACCACACCACACCACCCTCCCTACTCTCAGACACAAAAAAAAGCACACCCACCAAAATGCCCCTCCCCGCGCGAACCGCCTCAATCACGCGCATAACCAACGAGACCAAAATCCAAATCTCCTTGTCCCTGGACGGCGGCATCCTGCCCCCCTACGAACCATGCGCTCACTTCCCAGCCCCGACGGACCCCGCTGAACTCGAGGCCTCCAAGAAGGGCATCATCCCCAACAAAGCCGCCCCGCACGCCACACAATTCACCCCGACGCAGCAAATCACCATTAACACTGGGATTGGATTCCTGGATCATATGTTGCATGCGTTGGCGAAGCATGGAGGGTGGAGTTTGGCTGTGAGGGCTAAGGGAGATCTTTTCAGTATGTGAATTATCTTTTTTTCCAGGTTCTATCTTATCTAGGGGTTGTGAAGTGACATTGATATGCTAATGATGATGATGATGATCGTTATAGTCGACGACCACCACACGACAGAAGATACCTTCCTCGCGCTGGGTTCCGCGTTCACTGAAGCACTGGGTGCACGGCAATCGCTGGCGCGGTTCGGACGGGGCGATGCACCTCTGGACGAGGCGCTGTCGTGGGCGGTGATTGATCTGTCGAGTCGGCCGTGGGCGGTGATCAACATTGGGTTCCGGAGGGAGAAGATCGGGGATTTGAGTACGGAGATGATCACGCATGGATTGCAGAGTTTTGCGCAGGCGGCGGGAGTGACGCTGCATGTGGGGTGCACCTATGGTGATAATGATCATCATCGGGCGGAGAGTGCGTTTAAGGCGTTGGCGGTGGCGATTAGGACGGCTTGTACGAGGAGAGTGGAGGGAGAGGTTGGGGCGGGGGATGTGGTTAGTACGAAGGGGGTCCTCTAATTATTTTATATAGTATCTTGTTGGTGGAGGCGTCTAGATGGTTTGGTATGTTGATTCAATTACAAGTCAATCTTATGCATATAGTATACACTATGTCATGTTATGTTATAAGATGAACAAATGGAGGCTCAGGTAGAAACACCCAAGGCTTGCGTCGCCCGCGTCCAGTATGCTTTTCTATCGTCGTTGGCATTGGTCCCCACGCAGTCGGTGATGTATGCCGCCCAGCCTGCCTCGGACCCCGACTGCAACTGAGACCGCACACTAGCCGAGCACTGTGTGGTCAGGAACCATGCCCCGGAGCCGAAGTCGTAGTCTTCGTTGGCGAGCAAGAGGTTCAAAACCCCCGTTGGGTCTCCGGATACGCTGGAGAGTTGGCCCGCGAGCGCGGGAAGAGATGCCGCGTATTTGGAGTTGTACGAAGGAGATTGCATGTTTCGTGCTGTATACCAACATTAGCATCTATTGCTATCTATGTATGGCAGGATATGAGAGGAGTGAGACGTACTGCCCTGTCCCGGAACACCGGGAAAGTGGTTCTTGTTATACTTGAAATCGCCGCTTTCAAAAGCCATAAGTGCAATCACGGCTGCTTGCTCGGCGCGAGACGTCACGCCATAAGTGTCAAAAGACTTGGTTATATGCGGGACTGCTTGTTCCGCAGTAGCGCATTCCCCGGCTGCGGGGGGATTGTCGCACGTATTGGACGTGGGTGCAATAGCCTCGAGCTGCGCCACGGTGAGGGCAGAATTATCTCGGGCACGGATCCGGCCAGCCGGAGATGCATATGCTAGCAGGGGCATGATGCACATGGTGCTCAAGATTGATGTAGACTTCATGTTGCTAGGATCTCTAGTGAATCAGGACAAAGGACAGAGGCTGTTGAGAATGAAAGACACCGTGAGCCTGCACAAGTACCATAAGGACAAGAAAGGATTATCAACAGGGACAGCGCCTTTATAAGTCTTTCAAAGCATGTCATTGTTGAGACCTGGCATGCCTGATCGACTCCGCATTCCTGAGGGCGGAGTCAGGGTCTGGAGGGTCCTTCTACAGCCAAAGGCATGTAACAGAGCCTGGCCTGTTGCCACATGTTGGTTGGACCTTTCGTTGCATCTGGCGACACTGCGTTGGCATGTCCGGAGATTGCCAGAAACGCCTTTGGCCCAAATGTATCATGTATCATGCCTCCTTGTGCTGCTATTAACAGCGATTGGAGCCTGGCGAACTTCCGGCCAAGGTGAAACGCCCGTCGTAAATCATAAGTCGTGCTTATCTGACCCCCGGACACCTTGATTGGTCGTGTGAAAGATATGATCTGCAGACTGTCTTTTGGAGCCTCGTTCTTCAAGACCGTTATTGGTCGTCGGGCAATGTTAATGGTTGGAAAATGGCCGCAACAACACAGCACGAAACATCATCTTATATAATCAAGGAGTTGAACAGTCTCGAGACAATCACATATTAGTTTTATTTTGCCGTCCAGCTAGCCCCAGGCGTCTGCAGCTGAAAAATTCGGTTCCGTCTACCCAAAATCGAAAGCAAGTCTATGTAGTAACAGTAAAAGATGTAAGGTGTAAACAGACAGGTGCGAAAGTAACAACTGTGGGTTCAAGAAGAGAAGGTCAAAGAAAGAAAAGAGGAAGGTAAATCCGGACATCCAAGAAAGACAGATACAAGGCGAGCGCGCTGCCTAGCAGGTTGCCTCGCACAGATCAAAGAATCTTGCCAAAAACATGTACAAGCCGTCATGTGCTTCAAGTGAAGCACTGCTGTTAATCCATACCCGAAACTCCGTACATGCACCCCAGAAATCAAATACAACTCCCTGAGCGGATGAGATAAAACACAACTGAGCGGCTATTCCACGGGCACGATGAACAACGGCCGGGTGGAACGTGTCAGAGCGCTAGTAAGGCTGAAAAGGCACGCAAAGCATAGTACAAAGGGCGACGCTTAATCGCGTCGGCTATAGAGTTCGTACGACGTTTCGGTAACGCCGGCGGCCTCCTCGTCTTCTTTGAAGCTGACGCGACGAAGGAGGGTAGGCATCATGCGCCGCCCCATCCTTGTCGGCGAAGACAGGCGGGAAGCCGAAACAAAGGAAGGGATCTTCGAGTAGCGGTAACGGTACTTGGATCCCAACAGCATGATGCGCGCGTACAGCCACCAGAGCGCGAAGCCAACGACGGCAGCCAGGAAGAAACCGCAGACGGTGAGGAACACCCAGTGCTGGCCCATCCAGAAGATCAAGCGGGCGTCTTTTCCGTGCCAGCTGTTGCCCACGTGGTGCGTGAAAAAGCTCCACGAGTACCTGTTGTACTCATCGCGCATCAAGATGCGGACACGGCCTGACTCGCTGGGATTGGTCTGCATGTACTCCTTCCAGATCACCGACAAAAACAGGGGACCAGTCGAGTACATGACCGTGATGTACGGGAGGAGCCAATGGCGGTCATACGACTGCAGCAGCTCGATCGTACGCAGGAAGAAGGGGTGCTGGGGAACAGATCCCATGGCATCATTGGAGATACCGGTGGGAACAGTGCGACGGACCCAGGCAGGGTAGGCAAGAAGAGGATCTAACCGGCGATTGCATCCCTAAGATCCAGTCAGACAAAGTCTCAATCAATGAAATAAAGGCTATACACACATCATCCAGATCAATGTAGGTGCCACCGTAGTGTGCCAGGACAAAGTAGCGGATCGAATCAGCACGCTGAATGGGATACTTGTAGCCATCGAACGTCTCGAGGAACCAGGGGTACTCGTTGGCGATGAATTCGCGCGACTTTTCGTTGGTCCAGAGCTGATTGAGATGCGTGTTAGCAAAAAAGTTCATGTGAACGACGACATGTACATCGACAAGGCTGAACATACAATGTATTCGTAGTCTGGGTGCAGATCAATGCAGCTCTGTTGGGCTTCCCTCCATACTTCCGGAATCGTTTCGTTCTTGTATGTCTGGTGGATGATCTTGGGAATGATCTGAGGGCGTTGTTCAATCAAACTGGAGTTTGGCGAGGGGAGCTCGGCGCGGTGGATAGCGTCGGCGGAAGCATCTTCCACCAGTAGGGAAAGTAGTGTAAAGACGCTGCGCACGAGGAATGTGACGATAATGAGATTTGCGATGAGGAAAATGAGAAGTCCACGTCGCATATTGACAGAGAGTGCAGGGGCCGTCAACGACACCTGCTCAATAGGGGAGTGCGCAAGTATACAGAAATGAGGCGGATTCGTATCCCGATGCAAGGACCAATCCTCTGATGGATTTATTGCAGTTCGTAAGTTCGTGGAACGGAGAAAGGAAAGGTGCAGACGGCCGTGAGGGATTGAGACCTAATCGAACGAGGATCTGCTCTTTCCCACGGGAAGGGCCTGATGTTGATGGTGCGATAAGAGTACACCGGCGGAAAATAGATGCGAGGCTCAACACGGTACTACCAACATAGACTCGTAGGACAGGAGTGGGTGCACCGGCAACGTTTCAAGGCAATTGCAACGTGAGCGTCCGCGGGGGGTGTATTATGACCTGGGGTCGTCAAGGTTGACTGAAGGAATGAACGGCCGTGGAACTTTCTTGTTGGCTCTGTTTCCCCTTTTCTGCTTTTAGTTTACTCTGTAGACGGATTGTTGAGTCTAAGAGGATAAAGCGCAACGTGGGTGACTGAACCAGGAAAGGACCGGCGCAAGGGTGAGAGAGAAAGTTTGGACCAAGAGCAGACCACTAAGTAGTATAGAACTAAGTAGTGGTGGTGGTGGTAATGGAATGGCCTAGGGGAGGTTGATCGGAAGCCCCAATGGCGCTGGACTGGACGGGCGGGGGGTGGATTTATTGGGAAAAGTAACGAAAAGAGGAAGCCACAGAGGCGTTGTTTAAGTAATTGTAGCCCAAAACAGACAAGAAGATTGGAAAACAATTAAGTAGTAGAGGGAGTGCGTAAATTACTTGGGTCGCAAGGGTGGAAAAAAAAAAAATAAATAAAAAAGGGAAGGGGAAAAAAGAATAATAAAATAATGAATGAAGGAATGGAAATTGATAGGCAGAGAGCCAGGTACTTGAGGGGGTGTGTGTGTGGAAGGAACGAACGACGCCTTAGCAACAGAGCAGCGGCATCAACTAGTAAGAAGTAGTAGTAAGGAACGATGGAAAAGGCAGTGTAGCCGTCGAGAAAGTAATCCCTTTGCGAGGGTACCTGGGGAACTGGGAAAGGGAACGGAGAAAGCCAGCGAGTGAGCGAAAGAGAGAGTAGGGAGAGAGAGAGAGGGGAGGAGGCGGGCGGCGAGTGTCAACAACGGCCCATGGTTACGGGGAGCCCTGAATGGTCGGAAGTGTGTCGAATGGACCGTCATCGGCGCCAGGGGACACAGCTTCGGGTTAAAGGGGGGGCGCAGAAACTAAGGAAAGGCGCCTCTCTGGGGGAGAGAAAGCGAGACCGAGAGAGACACAAACACAGAGTGTGAGAAAGAGAGCAAGAGCAAAACAGTGGGGAGACACCAAGCCAAAGAAAAGTGGAGATGCTGGAGTGGATGCTTTAGGTTGGCGCCAGTTGCTAAGCCTCCGCCACTAAGACTCTTTCAGTCGTCTCGATGCCCGGTTTGGTTAGTCTCATTTGCCGACCGGGACTAGCCATCTCGAACTCGTAACTTGTTGAGAATATTACTACTTTACCATTATAATAATAATTTATTCGAGTAATGAATAGTAATCAAAAATATTATACAAGACCTTGTTAAATCCAGAGAACAATAATAGTACCTTGTATGAGGGGAGAAAGAGATCCTCCTCCCTGCAGTGCCAATGGCAGACTGCACCGCCATCAAAGTATAGGTACACCCCGAAAATCAACACCTGGTGATCTCATCAGCCTATCGCACTGCCATTCTTCCGACTGAGCCATGTTCAACGATGACGCCTAAGACCTCGTGGTTCATCCTTCCAGCTGATAAACTTAGTACTCTTTCCGGCGAAATACAGAGAGAAAGGGAGTCCCAGCCTGATGGCTGAGCCACTACTACGTAGTACTACTTACTCGGCCGGCGGTTAAACAGTAACTAACCACCAAATCAATAGCTCTCCAGTTCAGTCTAAGTAAGTACGTAGCCTCGTTAAGACGGGACATTAATTAACTGCCAAATAATCCAGTGGTTGGCGACCAGCCGGACTGTGGGGCCACCACTGGCAATCCCACGGGGCCACGGGGAAAGGTAAACCCGCTTATGTAACTGACGATGACTGGCGGACAGCCATCCACGCTAATCCAAATAGGCGAGGAAAGCGAGGGAGAGCAAGAAAAAAAAAAAAGAAGGTAAAATTGGGAGAGAAAATATTTAGAAAAAGCTAAAACGGATCTCCTCACAGATAAGAAAGAATACTTACTAACTACAAAGTCACTAGTCGATAATGAGAAAGTGGCTCCTCCGCCAAACCATTGAGGGGCGATTACGCAGGCCTCGGTGGTTTCACCCCCAATATGCTTCTGGCATTCTTTCCCATGGATCTGTGGCATCTGGTACAACAAGCAAAAAAGAGTAAGTAAAATTAGTTTTAGTTGGTTCGGAACATGAATCGAAGACGCCACCACTCGATTTCCCCCCTCCCCAGTTCAGTCTCAGTCCCCCCCTCATCATTGCCGCATCGTGAGAATCTTTGTTGCCTAATTCAGTTCCTCGGTATCGCTCAGTCGCTGATGCGCTCTTTACGCACCGGCGAACCAATTACTCCAGGTAGAAGACGCGTCCTGCCACCATGATGACGGAGCTGGCCTAATTTATGGTTTCTGCACATCCAGCGAGCTAGCTAGTTAATAACGGTCGCGACTATTACTGTGCCAATGCGGAACTACGTAGAGGAAAAAGCAAATTTTCCGACAGAAAGAAACAACAACAATAATAGTACGGAGTACTGTGTAAGAGATTGTTGAGAATTGTTGGGGAACAAGGCGAGTTAGAACGACCAAGTAAATCCTCTCTGTTCGTGACTACTAACTAGCTGGACTAAATCCATAGCGCTGCACGCTACGTCTGGAAGGTCAGTTCTAGGGACTGCAGGAAAGTGTGATAGTCGGTTTGAATCGCATGGATTCACCAAACTAGACAGGTACTAGTTCGGTCGTGGAATTTCTGGGCCATGCTCCATATCTCCCTTGGCCCGTAGTTCCCAGTACTGCAATCCAAGTGTCAACGACTCAACCACTGCAGCACATACTACCATCTACTTTCCATTGATTCCTGTCTGTTTTTCGTACTTTTGACGCTCACCTTTCTGCCGACACCGCGGAGCTTCTGCTGTCGGAGCCGCCCGTGCATAAAGTTACAGGTAGCATTTCGAGAGAAAAGCAATTGTCCTTGTGTAACACGGCAGCTGCCGCATCATCGACCGTGTTGAAGTGACAAGCCAGATTACTGGCAATCGTTCCAGAAGTAAGCCTATCACAGCGTTTGGCTACTTCCCAGATGTAAGTAAGTACTACTACTATGCACTGTATGTCTAGTGGTGATGCCGGCGGCAGCCGTCAATTGCAACGGTGATTGGACATGATGCAGGCTGTAATCTAGTTTGTAGATAAACCATGTGCACTTAAGCAGGATTAAGTGGCTAGCCGTATGTGATCTATCTGTACCTACTTACAGTAGTAGTCGTGTCGTCCTGCTGTCGGTTTGCCCTACCACACAGTTAGCCAGTATCTGCTTAGTAGTTCAGATCCAGCTCGGTGTCTCAGGCAATTACCACTTAAGGCAGGTCCAATACACAGCCCGGCCCAAACTTCGGCGTCTAACAGAGCAACACGATTGATTGTGATTGATTGGCATTTGCACTGATTTGCCGATGTATAACATCATATCTGATGTGCCCGGCAATGAGCGAGTAATCACAGCGGGGCAAAAACGACCAGCACAGCCCACTGTGCTTCCTTCCCTTCCTTCCACGCGACGAGCGATCAGGCAGAAGTGGGAAACGCTTTATCCATCCAGAAAGGCTTGTTTGTTCATTCGAGGATCCATGTTTAGAAAAGAGTCAGTCAGTCAGACAGACAGACCACTCGCCACCTGAAATTAATGGAAAAATTCAATTTGTCCAGGGTTGTCTGTCCAGCCACAATCTGGTGTCGGAGGTTCGTGGCTGGGACACAGGTGTATCTTGGAAACAACTGGGATGGATGGAGAACGTTTTACCCGCCGAGCTTGTTACAGCCATTGATTGCACCCCCATGGACCCTGGTCGGGACTTCCAATCCTTAAGTTTGGTGCCGGATTGCCCATCTGGCTGGCATGAATTTACGAGTACGAGTTGCTGAGAGACGGGGAATCGGCGGTCGGTGGTTAACCCGCCGACACACCAGGCACCACCAATGTTATTCTCACTGTTTTTGTCTTGGTGGGAACTTCGCTGGCAAATTCATCCGAGCTCCACTGATATCAGATTTGACAGATTAGGCGGGCTTTGGAGTGGGTTAGTGGTGGGTACTGCAACAAGTATTTTTGGCGTGGGGTCGTCGTAACCTTTCCATGTGAAAGGCAAAATGGTTCAAACAGGGCCCGGGGAGAAAAAGAGGGCCAGACAACCAAAACCCTCCAACAGGGTGCAGTACTAATATAGGTATCACTTAGTCGACTGCTAAGATAAGTCTCATGCAGCCATGCTTTTGCCACTAGATATCCGCCCAAACTGGGGGGCCGTTTCACACTTTATCCGACCAGCAAAGCACACCCACGAACCTGATTAGTCTATCCCCAGAAAAATGCCAAGTCTTTTCTACACCAAAAGATAAAGAGAAAAGGGAAAAAAAAGAAAAGGGTAAAAAAGTCGACGGTTAAAAGAAACCCACGGGCCCACATCCACACATGGAGAGAAGGAGGGCCTTAATCCATGCTACCAGGAGATACATCCAATCAGACCTTCTCACATACCCAGATTGGCGCAAGAAAGGCACCGATCTGACTGAGTGGCTGGCTTTTGATGTTTAGGCCCACAGGACGAGGAGAAAAATACTAGGATTGGAATGCATGGCAACAACCCGCGGTTGTCGAGTCGCAAGTTCTTTTGTGCCAGATTTCTTCTGATTTGTAGTTCAACTGGCGAGTGTCAGACACGCCTAATTTTTATCTATCCCTTGTGGTGTGTTTCAACCGACCAGAAACGAGCCCCGGTGGTTCCCCCGTTTATCCCCCTGATTGGTGCCTTGGGTCCGTGCCTCCCACGTACTCGTATCTCGACTTGCTATTCTGCCTCCTGTCTTTCTTAGACAAGGTAGAATATTGACTGATTCGTCCATGATAATCTCATCCCTATCACAAAGCAAGAACAAGAGATCATAGACACACCAAGAAAAAAATCATCCATTCCATCTCACTAATCTGATTACACGCAGACGAGGGGCCTAATCTCTCACTCAGCCCTCGTCTACTAACGTCTAACGCATCCAAATTTAGTAATAATGACCTACTACCTATCCATCTGTCTATCTTGCTAACCGTTTCGGCCTTCTCATCCAATAAAAACAGGTATATAAACCAAGTGTTCTGTGTAGGGGAATATGCACCATCATGGACCCCTGCCCCGTGTTGATTTGTTCATGTCAATCACCCCCCACTCTCACCCGATGATCTGTAAGTCGGATGAGGTCAGAGCATGCTTTAATCCCGCACAAGAAGATACCAATGTGTAGATAGCTCGTCTTCATGGTGAGAGAATTAAGACTATCTTGTCTTTGATCGGCCAAAGCGTCTGTTCTCTGTCTGGTTGATCAACGCCCAGGCAGAGAAGTATTGTCATGGTTGTCCTACTTGGTAACTATACCGGTGGTGCTATGTAACGCGGGGAAAGAGAGGAAGTCCAGATCGATCGATTGGATCAAACCATACGATACTGAACTAGGGGGGGTTCACCAGCGTACACAGATCCTGGATACAAGTCTGTATGGCATTGATTAAAAGTGGGAAAGAAGAAAGTAGAAAGCGACATTGGGATAGACATTGCGGAGAATTTACCCCAAACTTCGAGCTTGCACCCTGGATCGACACGTGGGCCGCCCGTTCAGGTAATTGGGATGCTACGATATTCCTACTGCATATGGGAGAGCAGCCTCATGCGTCCATGCGTTCACGGCCCCCTTCTCCCCTCTCGCACAATGTAAATTATCAGCTAAAAACATGACTTGGGTATATTCATTGAACTACTAGCTGATTGATCGCCATGATAGTCTGTCTCTCTTACAGACACGCCTGTTACTAACTCCCGCAGACAGAGCGCCCGCTATGGCCTTGATGATACTCCTCTCTTCCTTTCTTGCACATCTTCCCCACAAGTGATCCCAACTCCTTCCACTGGTTGGCGAAATAAGTTGATTGCTCTGCCTCTCGGATATTGATACTCGGGGACTCTGACGGTCTTATCCTTGCGGCATTTCTGATAGGAGGCCAGAGCGCAATCAGCCACGGCGGCGTGGGGCCAGATCAAATGACTCTCCCTGGACCAAACAAGCCACACGATAAGAAATCCTATCAAGTCTGCCGCCGTGATCCTTGCTTATATCCTGACAGTATTAACTTCTCATGCTTCGCGCGTGTCGGCGCGAGTAGTTGGCAGTACACACGTATATGCTGACGTTTCCAGAGCGATTACGCGGACGATTCTTTGCATCGCCATGCAGTAAATGCCCCAGTGGGGTGCACAAATAGCTCACCGAACTTCGGGTGCAGCAGCAGCGGCGAATTCCCCGTTGACGTTGGCAGCGTCGGTGCCTCGTTCCCCGGGCCCTGACTCAAACAGACGCACCCACCACATAGGAGGATCGAAAGGACGGTGACCACCGTGAAGCGAAGGGTAAACATCGTTGAAGAAGTACCAGACGTGGCCGACGACAACGCCGCAGATTTCATCCTTGGGCACGATGCCATGGACGACCAGGCTGAATGCCATCAGAACCCAGGGGAGATAGGGGGCGGTGAAGACCAGCATTCCTAGGAAGCTGAGGCGAGTTTCCGGGTTGCGACGACTCCAGATGTAGACCAGACTGGAAGAGAGAGCCGTGCCCAGGAATGGAAGGGAGAGAAATGGCGAGAGGACGAGGAGAGAGGCCATGGCGTAGAACAGAAGCCACGAGAAGTGGGCCGGCGATCGCCCCGATGATTCCTCCAAGAGGCGCGAGTATCGCTGCAAGAAGAACACATGAAATAGTAAGTCGAGATTGAGTGGTCCGAAGTATAGGAAGGTTGTGAACAGACGCCAATACTATGCGATGGTTAGCCGCGTGATTCGTCTACTCTATACAGTGGACGGAAGTACTAGCTGCGACGTACCTGAGACTTAACATAAACTGCGCGGAAGCTATAAAACAGCTGGAATGGGGTGAGGACGTGACATTGAACCAAGACTGAAGTGGCAACGGTGGCTGCTGTCCACCATCGAGTTACAGGGGGCATTTCATAGAACCATTGCTCCAGCGGGAACTGGCCAGCCTGCCCGCCGTTACCCCAGATGGCGGCCATAATTGATGGGTAGTAGAGTTGCGAACGTTGGGATTAACTTAGGGGGGAGGTTGCTCGGGTGGCGGGTACGATGCGACGAAGCGATAAGCGAAATAGAGAGGATGCAGACAGTCGTCTTTTGGCGTTTAAGGACTCGAGAGAAGACGGGCGAGTATGATCGATAAGGGGATGATGCCGAATCACCACTAAATAACTGCCAGTTTAGTTCCGCCGTAATCGCCGAGCTCCAGCTGGCCTTTTGGCCTCAGGTGTCACCTGTCACTCCCCGGCGCATATGTCACGTGTCGCTCCCGCGCGCTTCGACGCCGCAAAGACGCGCCTCGCACGCGTCCGGACAGGAATTCGGATGGCTGGGGATTCCATCACTTCATAGTCCGTTCGGCCTCCCGGATGGGTCCCTCTCTCGCATGCAATCTCATCCCTGACAAACGCTCCTCCGCGGTTTTCGCCTTGCAGCTTATTTCTCGACTGTGCCAGTCGATCGCGCCCAGAGCTCAATTCATTCAAAGCCTCAGGCCGCCGGAGGACGACGAGTTGGCGCACCACCTCAACACCATTTAACCTTAAAGCGTCATTGACTCGCCCGGCGCGAAGGAGCTCTACAAAGCTACCCCTCTTTCGCCCCTCTCGCCTTGAACACCCCAACCGGCCAATTGCTCGCCCAAGCGCTAAACAAGTCAATATGCCTCCCAAGACAGGCGGTCGCGGTCGCAAGAGCATTGTGGCGGCGCCGCGACAATCAACAGCTGGCGACCGTGCCGCCGCAAGCTCCTCGAAAGCAGCTGCAACGACGTCGCCGGCAGCTAAGAAAGTGCGCAAATCCACTGGACCGGCTAGGGGAGGGAAAAGGCCTGCTGGAAAGGCACCCAGAGAGTCCGACGTTCAGCGTGCGTACCCCCACCTTCAATCCAATATTCTCTCTCTCCTGAAGAATGAAAATTGACATCTCCGCAGCTGGTGATCCCACACCACAAGGACGTGTACGCCGCTACAAGCCTGGAACCGTGGCTCTCAAAGAGATCCGCAAGTACCAGCGCTCTTATGATCTGCTTATCCAAAAGCTTCCTTTTGCTCGGCTGGTCCGCGAGGTCGCTCTTGACCTCCTCCCTTCAGAAGTTGGCGCCGAGCTGCGGTGGCAGTCGCATGCGATCCAAGCGCTCCAAGAAGCAGCCGAAGCTTTCCTTGTACATCTCTTCGAGGACACCAACCTCTGTGCTATTCACGCCAAGCGCGTGACCATCATGCAGAAAGATATCCAACTTGCTCGACGCATTCGTGGTGTCTGGGGTGGTCTGGGCTAAAAGTCTTCCGTTACCCTTGCAATTGATCGAAAGGAGAAGAAGTCAAGAAAAGAAAGAAATCGAGACAAAACGCCCAAAACAAAAGCGAGTTTCTCTACTTTCACAATCTACCTACTCTACCCTACCACCTCTCTGATCTCATCACTCTATCTTACTTCTCTCCTTTCCGACTTTGTTATAATCAAGCAGTGGGCGTTCATCATCATTTTTTGCTGCCAGTTGGTGTTGTATAGGGTTGCAGGCGTATGGGAAGGTTACGGGGTCTTGAGGCGAACCGCGGGGTCTTTCTTTGTTTTTGATGCTGTTACAAACTTCTCACCGATTTTGATCTCATTTTATCTACCTACCTACCTCTTGTTTGATTGATTGTTGACTCTAATGCCGTTGACTACCGGCTGTGTCACGTGCGTGTACAATACACAACCTACTTATGTCCGTTGAAACGAACATGAGAGGTGTACTATCTATTCCATTTCATATATGGTTGAATCGAATCGATCATCCTGTGTATGCCAAGTCCTTCATGGATGCACTTGGATGTCTGATGTTATTGATCAAGAATCAAAAGAATCAAAGTCACCTGAAACCGGGATCTTATTGTATCACTATTTATTCCCATAAATAGAACAATTCACACGCGCACTCCCTTTTATCAATGTCACCATGACGCCGTACTCCCCTCATAAATAGCAATAACCTCACAGCCCAGACAGATAGAGCAGATAGACACATGGATAGAACAGCCCAACATGGTATCATGAACTGAACTTCAGCCGTAAACACCACTACATAGATATAGAAAGCACGAAAAGGAAAGGGAAAAGTGGAAAGAGAAGAAAAGGGGGCTGGGAATGTAGAAGAGGTAGGTAGGTAGAAATTACAAAAAGAGGGCTAAATAGCAAAGCAGGAAACCGCCACTACCAGCAGTAAGTGGTAGAAAGGAAGAAGAAAGAGAACAAGAGCCCGTATCTATACAGGTCTCTTCAAAGCAGACGGCAATCCCATCATCACGCGATGACCTTCTTCCCGTACACCTTTGGCCTCCTCATTCTTTCCTTGACGTTCTAGCGTTTCGGCTAGCATTTCGTCGGTCACGCTGACCCAGAGCCGGTCGTTGGCTTTCTTAGCCATGGCGCGGCCCGCTCGGGCACTTTTCTCGGCTTGTTCGCCGACGACGCCACGGAAGTATTTCCAGCTCATGAAGGTTAGGGTCATGCAGGTGATTTGGCTGTTGCTGATTGCTGTGGCGGATTGGAGGGCTTGTTGCAGGTATTGCTTGGTTTGAATCGTGGACTCGGTCTGCACGGTTGCGCAGACCAGGTAGTATGCTGCTTGGATATACTTGTTGGGACTGCCGGTGCAAAAGGATTCCACGGTCGATAATATGGTGGGTAGGTGGGAGTGAGAGGGGTGGGTGGGATCACGGAGGATGAGGACGGTGTTTAAAGCAGCGAGAATGGCGATGTCGCGGCGTGGCTCATTGCGCGCCGTCTTGCTGAAGTTAGTGGATAATGAGAGAAGAGGAGATTGGAAGGCGTTCAGAGCTGCGGTGAGGTCGCCTGTTGCTTGTGCAATAGCACCGGTGGCATACTCCATTAGGCACTCGACGGTATCTGGGAGCTGGTCGCCAAGTTCCTGGCCTTCTTCTCGAAGTTCCTTCAATGTCTTGTTGGCAAGCTCCCAATCTGTGCGACCGCATGCAAGAAAAACCTGCTGGACGAGCAGGTTGCAATAGAGAAGCCTGCGCCACTGAACGCGTCTATTCGCACTGACCACCGATTCTGTGATCTCTTGTGGCGCCTTGAAACTTCCTATGACAATACCGTCAGTAACACATTTGGAAGGATTCGAGATGATCTTCGCCGAATCCAGGTGCACTAACCCTTCAACATACGAGTGCCCTCCTGCAAGAACTTCTCTGCCTTGCGTCCATCATATGAGTTTTTGCAGCTCAGTGTGATCGAACTAAGGAAGTAGCAGAGCGCATAAAGGTCGTGCTGGGGTAGCCAATTGAAGCTTAACAGCAGCGTGCCGCTCTGGACCTGGAGGATGTCCCCGGTGTCGATGGAAGACGGACCGGCCGACTTGCCATTCAATGGGATTGAGAATGATCCATCGCTGCGCCAATTCGAGTCATTCAAGCGTTCGTCCATCAGATCTTGCAGCACCTTCAGCTTTTGCGATGATTGATTGATGTCGTATTCGAGTAGACTGCAGCAAATATCGACAATTTGGACTAAAGTCGTTAGCTGTGGGATATGTCGGAGCTCATCGTTGAGTTGGTGACTCCGCGCTACGGCTACCGCACGCTGGGCTTGCTCGACGGAGTCAAACCCGGATCCTTGCTGGAGGTGCGCGAGAGCTTCGATTATCGCAGACATGGCTGAGACAGCCCTATCACCATTGCGGCTAGCCATGGTGGCAATCTTGTGAAGGTGCTGTAGTGCCGACACCGAATCTTGATGCGCCGACGAGGAAAGTGAAAGGGACACCCGAAGAAAACGAAAAGCGTATTCCCAGGCGGAGTGGCGATACCTAACAGGTTCAGCAGATGACGAGAGAATTGGCGATACCGGTACATACGCTTCGACATCTTGTATCATCCCATCAACAGCTTTCAGTGAGGCCTTTGGATTCGTCTTATACAGCATTCGCGCCAACAGATGTTGCATGCTATATTTCAAATCAAGCATCCGATTCTACATTAATCAGTACCTCATAATCGCAATGGCTCCGCGAATGGAGAAGATGATATAGGCTCACCCTTTCGCAAAGGTCAATCTATAAAGGAAGGTTAGCAACAGCGAGAAGATGCAGGGCAGGAGTTAACTTACACCCTTGCTCAATGCTGTCTCCGCTTCAAGGTCGTTGTCTGTTTCCTCAAACAATATACGGGCATAACGTAATCGGACTAGAGCTTCAACACGGGGCTGAAGTCGCCAGTTCTGCGCCACATTAATAAGCATCACCACAACATAAGTATGGTTACAGAAGTCAAGGGTTAATCAAAAGTCCCCGCGTACCTTGAGAACGGCTTCCAAGCAACCAAGACCTGTAGCAACTAATTTGTAATACTCGTCCATCTCCATCTCCCGCCTTAACAGGGCTACCAACGTGCCATGACTGTGAGCAGCATTCAGATACTCATCAGCCATGGCCAACAGCAATACTTGATAGTCGATCGGCGTGCCTGCTGATTTTTGGGTCGGTTTTTGGCCAGTTTGTCGCTGCGCTTGCTTCTTGGAGGGTGGGCGCTGAACTTTCTGCTGCACTTCTGGGGTAGGAGCTGGGATTAACACCTGGACAGGCTTAGGGGACGGTGCTGGAGGAGTCTGAGCGACAGGTTTGGCGGCGGCTGGCTTAACGGGGACAGGGTTGGCAGCAACTGGTTTGGCAGCAGGAGCAGGGGCAGGAGACGCAGTCGCAGCCACAGCCGCAGCAGCGGGAGGTGGCACTTGGACTGAAGGCGTAGTAGATGTAGGTTGAGGGTAATTGTTAGGAGTTTGATTCGCTTGATTTGGACTCAGGGCGGAATAGTACGTGGATCGGGCGGGGGTAGAAGTAGGGAGGACTGGGGAGCGGCTGTTGCCTGCAACAGACACCGCTGGTTGTGCAGCATATTGGGACGGACTATTGGTGAACTGAGGAGGCGAGGTAGAAGCAAGCGGTGGTGGGTTGAATAGATCCGACGGATTCACATATTGCTGTTGCGGCTGCTGCTGGGGTGGAGGCTGTTGAGGCGGTGGTGGTGGAGGTTGCTGTTGTTGCGGCGGCTGCGGGTTATACGTCTGCGCGTAAGCAGGATACGCCGGGATCATGACCTGGGGATAGACCACCGGCTTCCCATATTGATATGGCGAAGCGCTCGTATTGACATTGCTGTTGTACAGTAGCTGCTGCGGGTGGATGGTCTGCTGGTGATGCGGCAGATTGGGGGGTTGCTGCATGTACTGCGAAGGATATGGGCCGTTATGGGGTGGTGGGTAGCTCATCGCCCCAGGACGCAGACAATGCTCATCAATCCACTGCACTCTGCTATTCCCGGGAAGTATATATAGCGAGACGACGAGGATGCTTCTATTTTTATGGAATGACTCTCTCTTTCTTGTTCTTCTGGATCGCGCCGCCTTTTCCGTTTCCGCGTCGGGTCGGAGAAACCCCCGGGCGGTCAGGTGAGGCGCGATCAGGTGAGTTCTACGAACCATGGACTTGCTATCCTTGCTGCATGACAATAAGGGAATGTAGGGAGAAGCTCCCTGTTCTTCGACGGAACAACCCGCATCATCTAGAAGTCTAGAATACATCACACACATGAGATTCGTGACCACACCAATCAACCCTAAATCATACTGATCGAGGTATACAGCTGATTCATCGACTGATCCTGTATAGCGGGGTTGAGGATATTCATATCCAAAGACGGTGCTTCTTCCAGAGGTGGATGTTCTCGGATCGTCCACGGGCATAGCTCACTGCAATTCGCGACATCGATTAAATTCTCCGCAGGATGGATTCGTTGCGTGGCCCATGTCTGATCTGGGACAGGCCCCGGTCCACCAAGGCACCGTTCAGTATAAAAGTGGTATGTTGCTTGTCCCGTTTCCTCGTCGACTCGACATGGTTGTTTGCGAGGACACCTGAGTGAGGCATTGCACGTATTACATACGGATATTCGCTTGCAGGATGCGCAGTGGTTGTCATAAAGGCGACAGAGAGTGGTCTGGCATACACTCGAAAGCCATAAGTCAACCGACCGGTGAGCACAACCAAAGCGCGGCGTCATGTGCTCTTCCTTGCCGAGCTGGCCGGAACCCGTGCGCAAGCGGTACTCTGTCTTGATCTTCAACTGGTCTTCGTCGTCCAGCTCAGGATAGATCTCAATATCCAGCTGTGTTGATCCGTAGTCCTCAGTGCAACTATGCCAGCAGAAACGCTGCTGTTTCATCCCGGATCCAAATTGGACCGCCAGGTCCGTTATCGTTCTCCTTCGTACTCTCAAAAGTTCAACAAGTTCCATCTTATCCTGGAAAGTCAGTTTCTTGCAAGGACATAGGTCTACTATGCCTGCCGAACTCCCTAGGTTGCATGACCTATCCTCGGACTTTCGTTTCAGCTCTCTTGCGGGAAAGAAGCTCCTCGGGTGGAGCTTCAAGCATCGAGAACATGCCCGCCACCTGTTATCTTCCAGCAAGTTTATGAATTGCCAGCGTGGGGTGACGAAATTGTGTCCATTGCGATAGTGGTGGAAAAGCGGTGCGAAGTCTCGACTGAAATGGAGGGGTTTGGCACCCAGGGTAGCACCGCATATCGAGTAGAGGCGTTTACAGGTCAGCGCCAGACATGCTTCGGGCAGCACCGACAGGTGAGAAATAATTTCTAGGAGCAGCTCGGTCGGTAGCGCAAGGAGATAGCAGTTGGTGATAGTGTCTGTATCGCCGACTTTCCCTTCATACTGGGTTTTCGCCCAGCGATTCATCTTTGCGATGGACCTCAATCGTTCCCCAGCACGGCGGAAACTAGATCCCATATCAACCGGCAGATCTGACCTCATTTCGTCGATTTGTGGCAGACTGTATCGTCTGTATGTAAGTAACAGGGAAATCGAGGTATATGTGCTGTGATCTATAGTCAAAATGTAACAAGGACTCAGAAGAAGAAAGAGTACCAGCCCGTTTTCTGCTGGATTTGGGGCATCATGGTGTCCTGGGAAATATAACTGAAAGCAAGCCACATGACAAACGAGTTGTCAAGAGGAAGACGGGACAGAGGGCCTTTTGACCTTCAAAAAGTAACCTTCGCAAAGGTTGTAGATTCGCACGCAAACGGAGCACGCGCCGGGGTCACAGCGTAGTAGAGACCGTCAGGATTACATACAACAAGATGGGTCTTCCGTTGGACCAAAGAGCAGAAGGGCGATTGTTTGATCAAGCTCCTTATTGGCGACTGCATCCAAACAGTCTACGGATCTAGACTGCTATCGTATCAGTTCATAGAAAGGGTTTCGCCCGACTGGGGGACGGCTAAGGAAGTCTATGATGCTATCGGATTAAGGCCTACACTGAGCTTCCGCATCCGGGCCTGTGTTTACCGCATCGATCTTGCAGCGACCCGCAACCCACCCTTGGAAGAATGTTCATGCTTCTAAAAATGCAGCAGTCTGTTGCGACACCATTTTCTGGGACCGCAAGACAAGATGGGATGAAAGATGCAACATCAAGTGACGTCGATCTGGAGGGTGTCTTTTGGAGGGGCCTCATGATCCATAGCTGAGTCATCGGGTACTGCTGACTGATCGGCGCGATAACGATAAGGCCCTGTCTGATAAGCACATCAGATGAGCCTTACTGGATGAGGCAATGAAGCCGAGGCAATTAAGATCGATGGGTCTTTTTCCATCCCAATTCTTTCACTGTTCGGAGTCGCAGTGGTTCCCGTTTCCCCTTTTTAGAGCTGCAGGTGATTATAGCGTGCTAGTGCTTGTTCTATAGACTCTTCTTTTGGCGTTGCATTACAACCAGATCCGATCCTCCATGTCATTTGTTGACACCCCCATCAGCCTACTAAGCACATTCTCCATACCGCTTCTTGTGGCGGGCCTGCTGGGAATGGGCCTGCTCTCATGGATCCGCCCTAATGGCCGGATCGCATACTATCATGCGAAAGATAATAATCTTCTACTGACCACAAAGGCGGAAAAGTCAAGATCCCAGACGCAAGTGACTCTGGCAGACCTCTGTCGCACTGCCACCCCGAAGACGTGCCAGCTGAACCCCTTCCTTTTCAACGGCCATCTACAGACTGCCTGGACAAGCGTGAAATTTGATAATGTCCCGGTGCACTACAAGCGCTGGATGTTCGAGGCTGAGAATCCGATGTTGTCTGGGCACTTTGCGATGGACTTTGTGGTAGATCCATATGAGCCGCCTAGCGACGCTCATGCGACTGATAGCGAGAGAAAATATACTCAGCCATCGGGGCTACCGGAGCGGACGTCATTCTTCTCAGAGGATGAATTTGCTGCGCTTCCCTCGGACGATAACAAGCCGATGCTCGTGGTTCTCCATGGCCTAAGCGGTGGATCACATGAACTTTATCTGCGCCATGTGATTGCGCCTCTTATCAAGGATCAGACATGGGAAGCTTGTGTCGTCAACTCCAGAGGCTGCTCGCAAACCAAGATTACCACCGGTGTGCTTTACAATGCTCGTGCTACCTGGGACATTCGTCAGGCTGTCAAATGGCTACGGAAGACTTTTCCGAATCGTCCCTTGTTTGGAATTGGTTTCTCGCTCGGCGCGAACATTCTGGCTAATGTAAGTCTATGTTAGGCACAAGCAACCAAGATTGACTGACGTGATCGTAGTACTTGGGCGAGGAGGGCGATGCCTGCGAGTTGAAAGCTGCAGTGCTCTGTGCTAGCCCTTGGAACCTTGAAATTGGCTCTCTAAACCTACAGAACACCTTGATCGGTCGCGAAGTCTACAGTAAAGTAATGGGCACGAGCATGAAGGACCTGTTCGAACGGTAAGTGAACTATTTCTGACATTGGCATTGCCACATCTGACTCGAGACCATCAGACATGTGGAACAGGTCTCCAAGAACCCGCGAATCGACGTTGATGAGGTGAGGAACATCACTTACTTGCATGAATTCGACCGGTAAGACATGACTGCCAGCTTTTCTACAACTGCACATTTTTAACATTAGCCACAAATAGGGCTTTACAATGTGCCTCGTGGGGCTATCCCACTGAAGGAGCATACTATCGCGATGCTTCCTCCACCGATGCTATGCTTGGTATTCGAATTCCATTCTTCGTTATACAAGCCGAAGACGATCCGGTAAGTGCAGGTTTTAGCAGTCGAGTTATATACACTAACCGGCAGCAGATTGCCTGTGCCGCTGCACTGCCATTCCAGGAGATGACACAAACCCCGTACGGCGTGATGATGACTACCTCTTGGGGTGGGCATCTTGGCTGGTTTGAGCTTGGAGGTGGTAGATGGTTTGTGAAGCCGGTATGTGAAAGCTACTCACCACTTGTCTATCTACATCTAACTGTTTCAGGTGGCGAATTTCCTAAACCTCATGGCGAAGGAGGTCGATCTTAGCGTACCATTCAAGGTTGAGGATCCTGAGAAGATCCCCGGTCATCTTGCCCACCATACGGGTCCCGAAAAGGACGCAGATACGGCACCGAAGCCGAAATTTATTCCTGCGCAACGCAAGCTCGACCTGCAAATCAGGCCATAGTCAACACTTTTGCATAACTGAACTGCTCCCATTGATGGGATCAGTGCTTCAATTGGAGAGATGCTCATCATGTGTCATGCACGCCGTTGTTTCGGAAGACATAGACCAGTATAACGCCAGAGACCCATCTAACTACATAGACCCGGTATAGACAGAATTACTTTTGTACATAGAACTTCAAGCAAATGCAACGCTCTTCTTCTTTCCTTTTGACTTCGAAGACGACTCCTTGGTTGGCGCCTCATCCTTTGTTTCGCTGGAGCCTCCCTTGTGCTTGCGTTTTTGGCGGATGGACTGCTTTGCATCCTCCTGTTCGGGCCAAACCAGTTAGCAACCCTCAAAATATAGTCCTTCAACGGGACAAATAGGAAATAATGAGCATATATACGCACCAGCTTAGACTTCTTCTGCGCCTGTCTAGCCTCTGCCTCCTTTCTCTTAGCCTCACGGATCTCCTCCAACTGGCGAGCCTTCATCATCTTGGATTCGATCTGTCCTTCCTTCTCCGCATTTACCATAGCGAGGATAGTCATCATTCCCTCCTATTGCAACATCGTTAGCCAATGCGACATCCATAGAACGGCCTAAAAAGTAGATGGAACACGTACCGCATCGTCAACGAAAGTCTTGCCCTTCTTCTTGCCCTTGGGCTTTACCACACCGACGGGGGTGATCGCATTCAGCTTGGGCAGTCCCAGTTCCTCCTCCGTATATTCTCTCTTCTTCGTCTTCTTCAGCAGGCTAGACTCTGTGCGCGCCTTCGACTTGACTTCCTTGGGCGGCGGGCGCTTGGCGGTTTTCTTGTTCACTTTCGATGCGGACGAGAGAGGCTTGCTCTTCTTTGCGTCGCCCTTGTTCGAGGCCTTGCCACTGCCGGAGCCCTTAGTCGGCGCCATTGCTTCGGTTCAACTCTGCGTGTCGGGGTTGACGATATGGAGGGTATCGAAAGAGGGAGACGAAAATCTGGATTGTCGCCTGGGATGGTGGGAAAGCGGAGAAACCAGCCACAAATGTACAGTCGCCCGAATAGCACGAAAACCACGGACCTCAGATATACCCAAAAGAATGTAAATAAACCGAATCCAAGGCGAAGAAAAGAATTGAACGATGAAGCCCCGGACCCTCCAAGATCACGCCTCCGAAAGAGAAATTTTTTGAAACAGGCAGGCGGTGAGCCGCAGACCGGGACGCAGGACCTCCACCACTTCGATCTCCTCGCATCGTCACCTTAAGGTTGGACCATCGACTTCCCTTCCTTTTCCCCATTCGCTCTCCTCCCCCACCGCGGTCTTTCTCTCCCCTCTCATCTCAAGTGTGCCATTGTCGAGCCTCACCACCGGGCCACTATTCAAGATGACCATCAACCCGACCTTCCTTGCCCAGCGCACGCGCTCCTGTACGTTTTCCCTTCCTCCCAGGACTCGGTTGTCCCGACCAAGTCCGACCTTTAGAAATTGCCGCGACGTCAATGGCCGGAATCCCGAGCTGACCTTTCTCGCCCTGTGTAGCTGCCAACTGGGGTGATGCGAAGCACCGTGTCCTCAAGTCCTACAGAGAATGGCTTAGAGCGGTCAGTGATCCTTATACTCGATGATTTACCTATGCATCATCACCCAATGCCCGTTCATCAATGGCTTGCTGGGGCCTGGCGTTCCCGGCGTGGTCGTCGACCCTTTCGCGTCTACCAGACAGAACCTGCGACGGACCAGAACCCAACTTTCGATATCTAGCATTCTACGAGAAACATTCAGACTAACATGGTCCCTCCAATTGAGATGATATAGTCCCCCGAGATTCAGACTATGTACTCTCTGAACCTCCCCGTCTCCGCTATCCGTACGAAGATCCGCCAGGAATTCGAGAAGCACCGCTACGTCAACCAGCTGAACGTTGTTGATGTGCTGTTGTACCAGAGCCACGCTGAGTTCCAGGTGAGTTTATGAAAAGTGGGCAGTGTAGCGATACACAATTGCTACCATTGATGCCGCCCAGCCCAACCAATTGAGTCTCATATGGCATGGATAATGTGTCCTGACCAACATCACCAGGAAACCCTCAACTACTGGAAGCAGCTGTCGCATGTGATGAAGTACTTCCGTCCAGAGGAGGACCCCGGTGCTCGGCTACCTCCCAACTTCATCTCGGGCTTCTTGGAAGGCCGCAATTGAAATTGTGAAATTATTATCACCATCATCTCTTACCACCTCTTTTTATATTTCCCGGTATCCTTAGCATTGAAAGTTCTCTGACGGCTGCGAACGCTGATAGAGTGTGTGAGTGTTATGTAAATATTGTCTGACTACATGATGTTTTGGTTGTTGAATTACTTCAAGGGTGCTTGCATAGTAAGCATGTAGACTGTATTCGTATGACTTGCGATTCGGCGTGAGGACGGTGTTTCTTACTACTACCTCTTGGTTAGACTATCACAAAGAGCCCTATTCACATGACCAACCCAGATATCTATGAGCATATAGTAATAGATGCTACCTATGGTATCCCTCACTCCCTCCCCATCAATACTAAGTACCACTGCATCTCCAGCCAACCAATCAACCAACCAATACACCCACATCAAACCCCATTACATCTAACCACCCCAAGAGAGTAAGAAAAGAAGAAAAGAAGAAGAAGGAAAAGGTATAACTTTTCTATACACACACAACGCCATCATATCCCATCAAACAGCAAAACATGACACACACAGATCAAAAGCCAAAAACCACCCAAAAGTCTATAATATGTATATATATGCCTAAGCCTCCATGCGATCCGCCTGCGCAGCATTAAAGTCATCACGGGCAGTCGTGAACTTGTCCGTCACGACATCACAGAGGTCCATTAGAGTGTCGAGACCTTTCTCGAGGGCTTCGACGGCGGTGGTAGTTTCTGTTTGTTCATTCGTTAATACTGGTGATCTTTATTCTGACGGAAAAGAAGGTAGGAGGGGGGAGAACAAACCATAAGTCTGAATACGAAGGTTCATCTTCGTCTCGGAAGGATGGGGGATGGTGTAACCGCAGAATTCGACTTCGGGGCTGAACCCAAGGAAAACTCGTTAGCAAGATCCAACATAACAGAGAAGTGAGAGGTTTGTAATAAAGTAGAGTAATGTGTACGCACTTCTTCATAATCGCATACCGCAGCGCATTACCCAGAGTGTGACCCTCTCCCTCGAATTGAAACGAAGCTGCGGTGTCGGACGAGCCGGGCAACTATCCCATCCAGCAGGTATTAGCATACGCCCGAAGTGAATCATGTCCACACAGTGTATGTAGTGTATACGTACAACAACAATGCGCTTCTCGTCCAGCTCTAGGACATCGGTCTGCTCTTGCTCTTGAGGCGCGGAGGCGTCCAGCATGGACTGGTCTTGTTCTTCGGAGTGGACGGAGGCAGGCATTTTGATCGGATTGTATGCAGAGATTAGGTATCGGTTCCTGGGCATTACGGTTAGCGCATTGTCTGGTATATTGTCGTTCGTTCGAGGTGTATACTGAGGGGGTGAGTGGTGGTGGTGGTGGTTATTCTTAGGAGGGGGGAGCGGAGGAGAGATGTACTTAGTGGCGGGACACGCGAGTCGCGGGTGCGGGATATCTTGATGGAACAGATTCCAAAGGATAGTATATTCCCAGCTAGATGCGAATAGAAAATCAAATGGTTCGTATACGTCAAGTTTCGCAAACAACCAGATGCTTAATGCTCATGAGGAGAAAAAAGCGAAAAACGGTTTATCGATATCTCACCGCCTTCGGAGGAGGAGGGCACATCCTTACCGCCTGCTTTTTTCGGCTGTAGTGTGCTCAGTCTAGTACTATTTGCTGTGCTGCTCTGCGATGTATGTTTGCCTTTGGTTTGGATCTTATTAATTCTACATAATTGCGAGTTGCTAACTATCTACGGATAAAGACCTGCCTCTTGCAAGAGCTGCAAGCTCAGCTGTAGCCAAAACTGACGCACAGCACATATCCCATTTAAGCACTCTGCATGACTTATATCCAACGGCAGGATACGTACATATATGCCGTACAGCGAACGCTCTTCTCGGCCGTGTGCGACACTGAATACGAAGTAGTAGCTACTAGTCAAGTCAGGTTACTTCAGCGATTTACATTAAATATAGCATCCGGATTGTCAAACATCGGGCACACGGTATGATCTACCACTATGCATACCCTTGTGCAACTGTGGCTTAATTTTATTTCCCCCTTCTCTCCGTCGGGCTTGGGGAGCTTGTGTCCTGTTCTTTGCAGAATTGGATTTTGCTTGCATATGGTATCTACATTACGGTGCTACTGTGGTTTTCTCCGGATGGATGGATGGACACTGCAGGTAATCGACCGAGTAGGCCACTATCTGGCTAATCCTTACTGGAGATGAGTCTTATGTCGCTAGATTTAGTAGTAATATTAGATGAATATTATTGACAAATGACTTTGCTTGTGTTGACTAGACGGAGGAAATAAAATGCTCCGGTGAGCTGGGTTCAACAGGCAATCATTCAGTTCTATAAATATGTATGCCATGGGGAGCAATTAATGTCCGCACCAGGGATATTTTAGTGCAACGCTGTCACCTACAGAAACTCAACTACTAAAGTAGCAGTACTATTGAAGGTACGGTGTAATTGTTCTTAAGATTCTCCAATCAATAGCTCATTTCGTTAGCACATAGGAGCGATCAGTTAATCCTGGTTGATCCTCCGTAGGCAATAGTAACTGCTATACCACGCGACCGGGACCAAGCTGCATTCTAAGTACACACTGATAACTACCTACTAGTTATTTGCTACTATTATTGACAACAACTTATTGCGATCGACCAGATGCTATATCGCTTGCCTTTGGGGGGAGGGGCTTGAAGTGCACGCCCACTCTTTTTTCCACATGGAAGAACCAATATTAGCAACAGGGCCGTGCAGAGGCAGCGCCGTTGAGACTAGACCCGGGCTTCAAGAAGGCTTAACACGGGGCGTTATTATTGCCGTCTGGCATTCAATCAATCAGCCAGCACCGACAGTATTTATGACACACACTGTGATGATGCGCCGGTCAGATACGGCAGAGTAATCATAGTTGATATCAAACTATTTTCTTGGCGTTGTAGATAGCTAGGCTCGCTACTGCAGATATGGAGCTTCGGGTGTATGTGAGTAGATTACTTTGCAGTAAGTAGTAACTAGTATGCTCGGATTCGGACTCGGAGACGGTCGTATGTAGTGGATGATGTCGTGATAGATGGGGTGACGAAATGGATGGCGCGTACGGAAGAATTGATCTGACATTGATGAGGAGAATTCCTGTTCTCATTTGCCGAGTGACTTGCTGCTTTGCCAATAGTAGGACTGTTCTACCCCATCGTTTGAGACATTTATAGGCGAGTGTGTACTGTGTATATTGAATATGGAGTATCCTATCGGGTCGGTTAACTCTCGAACAAGCCCTTCCTTGCACATGGGGGCGTTCAATAAACGCTTATTTGGCATATGCAGGGCAGAGTAGAAGGAACCCCGTGTGTATTTACGGAAGATAATGGTGGTTCTCGTTTCGAGACAACACCCGATAATCTATCTCGTACTCTTCCGGTGGGATAAAACACATACGTATCCACACCGTGTACATGATAGATGGATAGATGAATATCCACGAACTCGGGATCCCAGCTTGCCGAGCAAGCCACACACGATCAATCGATTCGAACATTTACACCGACCTCCTGGAAAAATCTCAGCAGCTTGACATGTTAAGTTAGTTAGGTAGACCCTTGTGATGTGACAATCCATGGTACCACTCAGCAGGTCAATAATTACTGGAGACGGCAAGGCCGGACCCATAAACTAGCGGTTCATCAGACTGGATGGCAAGGCCGTTCCTTAATCTTATTTGCAAGGAGCACACGTGGGCCCGCCAGGCCGAGGTTAACTTATACAAAGTAGGCTAACGAGTTAAAGTAAAAATAAGAGAAGATATGCGAGGGTGCAGACTGTATTTTTTTTTTTTCTCACACATTGCACAAACATTTACTTTCATCTGGATAGTATAGACATTGCTTGCCAGCCCGATGGTTGGATAGATATTCGATTGTCCAAGTTCATACTGTTCCCCGGCGATCTAATATCTAGTAGTCCACTCCGTAGTCTCCTAGTCCCCTACTAAGCCGGATCTCACTAGTCGTGATCCCCGGGTTAATGAGGCGGTCCCGTTTAATATTAAAATGACTTGCCTCGTGGAGCGGGAAATGAGGGGAGAAGAGATCGTCCCTGGTGATTGGCTCTCACATACGGGCTTATCCGCAGATGATTTCGAGCCTTAAATAGGAAGGTCTGTAAGTATTCAGGAAGTAATCCATAATAGCACCTCCCATCATCGGTACCTTGGATCAGGCTGTCGAAGATGGATACTAACTATCGAAAGTCGACAAATACCTTCATTTGGCTGCTGCAATGAAATTTGTCAGATCCACATCCCACCCAGCCGTGTAAGCAGGCCACGCATTGGATCGGAGTAGAAGAGTACCTGCAAAGTATCAGCACTGCGACTGTAGCAGGGATTGAAATGATAATATGCCACAACTACAGTAGACGCAAGATGGAGCCCTCTGCGTGCTTTGACTTCTACTAAACCTTCATGAGGACTAACAGAACTCTTTTTCCTACCCACCAGGCTGTCGGGAAGTGGTTTCGCGCGTTAGTTTTAAATCTTGTGAATGTATTGGGAACTGATATTAAGAAGGACGGTGTATACGGATTTGGCTAGATCACTACCGAGAAGAATGGGTGTGGCTGTTTCTACTACTGGTGATTGATTGATAGATTGATTGACTTGAATAGTTAGTAGTTCTGTTTTGAAGACAGCATGTTAATTGAGTTTGACTCAGCAGGGAAAAGTTTGACAGGTCCCATGTTTTGCATTGAGGCCTTGTTTGAGTCAAGCTGCCGTCTGACTCGAGCAAAAAGGCCGGGGGCTTGGGTTTTGGTTGCACGAGGGCTGGGATTAAAACCATCCCCAACAGTTGCTGCTACTGTTGCTGCTACTGTTACACCGGTACGGCATCTCTCGGCTATCAAGGTAAGGTTAACTGACTAACTTACTAGTAAACTAAGTTAGTCAGTTAATTGTCCAGAATTACTCCGCGGCCCTGTCTGTCCGTCCTGCACTGCAAATCTGATTGAGACAATGGTGTTGTCGCAGGAAGCGAGCTAATCGTCTGAAAGAGAGGGATTCTCATTTCCGCCCCAGGCCGTGATCGAAGGGGGCGGGCAGCGGGCTGTGTTGTGGAAAGTCGATCTTCATTGTTCCCAATAGTTCGCAGGTTCATGTGCTTGAAATGAGCCTGCGAAATTGACCATGAAAGTTGAATGGAAGGAGGCATGGGAAAAAATCTGCCTTACAGTAGTTCGGTCGCTCGGGCCCCTGGGATGTCGCAAGGTAAGCAGTGCCGGACGATCATGTCTAGAATTTTACCTTCGAGGCGGATGTGTGCCGGTGAGCAAGGTAGGTATCTTCACCTTCTCACCTCTTCTACACCCTACATACATACATACCTTATTACGCTTCTTAGTATGTATCTACAGTTGGGTGCTGTTACTCCTACTAATCTGGGAGTAGCGACCAAGGAAAGTCAACTGATTTCCGGTGGATGACCCGGCTGGGCGCGGAGTATGACGGAAATCCCAGTCCTGATGGAAGAGGCTGCGATAGAAGCCCGTGTCGGATCATTTTAGTCTTACTCATATTGTAGAAAGTTACTTTTGTTGGGGGCAGAAATGAGTGTCGTTGATAATGTAGTCAGACTTGACGATCTGATTATCATGCAATGTGTAATGTGTTATTGTTGTTGCTGTTGCTGTTGCTGTTGCTGCTGCCGTTGTTATAGTAAGATGATGATAATGATAATAATAATAATTCTCATTATTATCCCTTTTTTTGTTTTGTTCTCCTACCCGAACAGTTGGTCTTCCCGGTATGGAGCCTTTTTGACCAGGATATTCATCCATTCATGCGACTGTTGGCTTGTCTCGGGCATGTCACAACGCGACACCCACGAGAAGAACGAGGGCCGATCGTCGTCGTCGTCGGACTGTGCCGCGGGATGATCGATCGATGCATCGTGGAAGAGTCCTGGTTGCCTACCTTGTTTCTTCTTTTTGCTTATCATCATTACCAAGGTTAGCAAGGGGAGCCCTACCAAGAAATCCATTTACTTCCATCCATGGTGAGCATTTAGAGAGAAAGAGGAACGTGGGGAAATGTGAGATGTCAACTTTTCGGATTAATTTGTAAAGCCCCCCAAAGAGAGGCTGTTGCTGACTGCAGGCTAGACTAAGAAGAGGAGGGGGTGGGCAAGTCGGAGAGTGGAAACGAGAAGCGAGACTGTGGTTAGTGAGTTAACAGGATGAGTATTATGTCTGACAGAAAGGTGGATTCATGGATCGGGGCAGGGACTATTGTTTCCACCAGTTTGGCGCCGGTGGATTCGGGGATGGTGAGGGACGCTGGTGTCGCAGGTGCGTCGCCACCAGGGGGAGGAACCTCTCTTTTTTCCCTTCCCCCCAATTTTATCCACCCGGCGTCGGACGCCGACGATAGTTTGTTGGCACGGGATGGCTGGATGGCTGTGTGTGTCAACCAACTAGTAAGTGGTACTCTTAACTTACCCCTCCACTACTTACAGAACAAGGCTGTCATATCCACATCTTTATCACTCAAGCAAGAAAATAACAGCAGGAGAGAAAGAAGGTAACGATGAAGATGAACCAAGAACCACTACATAGTTTCTTGTCAAATTTCTGCCACACTTTTAAAACGAGGGCCAAATTCCCAGCAGGTGACTGGCTCGGGAATCTCCAAATGTTCCAGCTGTCTCACAGGCCAGCGGCAGTTCCTGGATCTCCATAGGCCGGATCCCGGATGGGTCGCAGGGAAGAGCCCCCTACCTTACCTTCAGTTGGATGGAACACGATGGTCGGGCCAAGAGACGACTAACTGGTAAGTTGTTGTACCTTTGTCTGGTGTGTGTCTGGTGTGTGTCTGGACTCTTCAAAGTAATCTTCTTTCTCCCCCTCCCCTCCCTCTATTCTCAACACACACATGATAGTATATCGCCTAAATGGATCAAAGGCAAAGAATAGAAGAGTTAAGGAAGAGTAGGCCCAGGTTTTGAAGTTGAGAACAATTTAGATGAGAAGTCTTAGTTTCTCTTCTCATAAAAGTGAGAGATAAAATAATTCCAGGTGTCATCTTATCATGCCAGCCCGATGACAAGAGAGCAAGTACGTAGGAAAGAAAAAAGAGGTGTGGTACTACAGTCCAACCGATGTGAATCCGAGGCGATCAGCAGCAACCGCCAATTGTCACAAAAGTGTCACATCATCGGCGGACAAGCCCTGGGCGGAAACAAACCATGTCTCAGCTGGTGCCAATCAAGTGGGAATCCTGCTCCACTTGGTCTGAGCATTTTCAGGAGATTATTGGGATGGATCCCAGTCTGGTTTTCTATTTTTCTCTCTTGTACACAAGTAATTCTTCATTCTTCTTCTTCTTCTTATTATTTTTATTTATTTATTTATTCTATTGTGATCTTACATTCGCATTAGGAGAGATTAGGTGTTCACCTTCCTTTCTCAGGTAGATTAGTAGTATTATTCCATGGGCATGACAGTCGTTTAACAAGACAAGGTATTTCCTCATTAGTATTCTGCTCTTTTCTTTCTCCAGTGGTTTCGAACTAATGTCCCTAATGCTCCTAGCGACCAGGATCTCTTCTGGTTCTTGATATCGTATCCATTATTTTCTTTCTTGATTTAATTAATACTTTCCCATATATTTTTTTTTCCTTTTTTCTTTTTCTGTTTTACATTTTATTATTATTTTTCTAGTAAAGTAAGTCAAGAGTCTCGTCTCTTCCCCACATCCATTCATTCAAGGTCTTGGTCGCCTCCATTGCAGCCCAATTAATTCCCACTCCCCCGTTTGATGATGATTATTTCTCCTGCTCGTCTCTCGCCTGTTCTCCGTCCTTGGTTTTAGGTTTCTTTCTCTTCTTCTTTATTTTTCCGTGTTTCTCATTTCTTTTTCCTTTTGTTATTTCGCTTATTATCAATCATAATTTCCTCGCTCCAACCCTGCCGCGTGTTCGGATTGAATAGCACGGTCCAACTGATAGCCCTTTCATCGTTCTGGCTAACTAGTGCCAACCCTCTTCTGCCACCGTCTCATCGAGATTGAATCGACCTGTTGGATTTCCTTCGCCCTCCCCGATCCATCCATCCCGCTTCCATACCAGACACAACTTTGCCCCATACCGCCCTCCCAACTAATACCTTCCTTACTAGTTAGTTAGTCAGTTAGTCCACCTTTTTGCTGCTGTTGCTGCTTCTGCTGCTTCTCCATCCTCTCTCCATCTCTCCGTTCCTGGTCCTTCTCAGCCTTCCTTTTTCTTCCTTCTTCCTCTTCCCCTCTTCCTCATCTTTGTCTTTTCACTGTTTCTTATTTTTTTTGCTTTTTCTACTTTCCCTCTCTCTACCTCTTTCTTCCTTCTACTGTTTCTTGTTAGCTTCCTTTCTCCTCATTTCTTCCTTGATTATCATTATTATATCAGCATCATCGTGATATCCCAATTTTGTTTCTCTCCCCCTCCTTCTCGGGCCATTTACACCTCGCATGGGGGCCAGACCTGTCGAGATCCGCTTTCCACCACTATCGCTTCACACCCCCCGGCCCTGACCGACCTCTAACCGTTGTCACACTGCCGCCGGCCAGCCTTAGCTAACCGCCTCCCTCAAGTATCTGACCACTCCCCGTCGTTGTCACCTCCCACCACCTGCTTGACGACTTTTTCCTGGGGTGCCACATTCAACGTTGATCTCGCCCTCTTCTCCCCTCCGTCCTCCGTGCCTTTCATTGTTCGGGCTGGATCCGTCGGTCTTTTGAAAGCTGCTTCCGCCCCCATTCCAGAGCTCAACCTCGACCCTCTCCCCCCCGAAGACCATCACTATTAGCCGCCTCCGCTACCGAGCTCTCAAATCCGCGCGCGCTTTCGTCCGATCTCGCCCTACCACCCTATAATTCCAGCGCTTGTCAGAGAAAGCTTGATACTCCACCTGCTCCAGGCTGTGAGACCTTGGGTGGCACAGTCCTTAGTACCGTACAGGAACACGCTATATAGTCTGTGGCTGTGTGAGACAGCTCCCGAGGGGGAATTCCTTTTTACCTTTTGTCTGTCGCCAGCCTATATCGGTTCAACTGCTGCACCGTCACTTTGATTTGACTGTTTCCCCTGGTCAGCTGTGTGCATTCGCCAAGGAGTTTTCCCGCTCCTTTGTGTCCTGTCGAACTCGTCACCCTTCGTTGTCATTATGTCGACCGCGGTTGCGCCTGCCCAGGCTGCTCCGCTCACATCTCCGCGTATGACCCGCGATATCAGTCCGAAAAATTGCCCAACACTGGCGCCTGCGTCTTCGGGTAACCAGATGAGTACCACGCCGCCGCGCCCATCCGGTGTCTCTCGGGATGCGTCTTCGGCCAAAAGCTCTCCTGCAGGAAAGAAACCGACCTCACCTTCGTAAGTATTCTGACCAACAGTCGCTAGCTGAATCGCCCATGCAGATTGCTGACCTTTCAGCAGATCACAGGCCGGATCCACTGCGAGTCGAGTCATCGTGAAAAAGGAACCCCCATCCTCCCCTGCAATGCAGTCTCATACAAGACCTCGCCCTCGCAGATTAGATCTGTCTAGTAGCCTTCCGAACTCTGGGGGCTTGTCCGCTCGGCCTCCTGGTGGCCCTATGACTGCGAGAGAGGGCGTCAACATGCAAGAGGTCGGGATCGCTTGCCTGTCCCCAGGATTTCAAACACATGATCCTGTGATGCGGGAGCAGCTGCAACGGAGCTTATCGGTTCGGGATCAGCAGCGCTCAATAATCGAATCGCGTTTACAGAAGTCCGCCAAGGATGACGGGCCCGACGGAATAAAGCCGTCTGAATCATTCGGCCTCCCCAGGGTCGGTGCATCGAAGAGAAGACCCCCGCCTGGCCTCTCCATCGTGCCCCCGTCAGCAGCCCAATTTGCTAGTGAACGTGTCATCCAATCTGCGCCATTGAATCAGACCTTCACGGGCCGAAATGAAGCGCAGCCCTTGACCCGTCATGTCGTTAACCAAAGTCCGACTCTGGGGTCCACATCTCACATCCACCATCTCCCTGCTACACAAACAACCAACCGCTTGCCCCCGCTGTCTGATGTCTTTGGAAATGAGGCGTTGGGCCGCGATCGCGAGGCAAACCGGGGAATGTATTACCCCAGCGCGACAGCTGCCAACCCGCCTCAATCGAACAATCTGCCCCCCATTCCCTCCCCTCGCATCTCCCGGGATGCCGCTCAACCTCCCAAGCGCCCCAGGGAGTATCGTTCCGCCGAGGAAGCTGTCCAGGAACTGTCAGGTGGGCGCGAGGAGCTTCTGCCGCGCATTGTACATTACGGCGGCCACCAACCCCCAACTCCACCATCTCCCCGTGTGGCTAACGGACCACCAAAATCTGGAGTGCCTCACTCGGATGCTACGGCCATGGCGAATGCGCACCCCCCACAACCATCATTGTACCCGTCCGAGGGTACTGCTCGTCGCCGCTCGAGAAATGAGTACGAACATGAGCACGGCAGCCCGCCCTTGGGCCACGGCCCCGACCCACATTATCGCCCTAACCCAGCCTTGGCCTCTGGCGCAAGTGCCACTTATGGCCCATTTGGGGCTGGGAGAGACTCCCCCGAAACCCAGCGCAGAAAGAAGGAAGAATTCCTTAGTCTCTGCGCACGTGCCTGGGACCTATTCCATTCTTAATCCATGGTCAAGTTGCTTAGGGTCTCCCTACGTGACCTGATTTGGCCCGTTTCTATGAATGCATTCCCAAATACCGTCAACTTTCCCTCATGCACTATTCGAAGTGGTCAGCACTTGAGTTTATGGATAGGCACGACCTAGCAGAAGGTGCTTGCTTGGTAGCAATCACCCACGGCTGAACTGCAGGCCCACAAAAACAGCAGTTTCTACGTGTGGAGGGAGTGTATCTGAAGAATAGTAATTATTCTAGACATGATGCATATGCCAAACTACACGACTACCTATATGAACCGCATGAACAGTCGCTCTTTGAAAAGAACGGAAGGGTGGATCCCGTCCCTTCAATATCCTCATCATCCCTTTTTACCTTTTATGCATCTTATACCATGTTGGGCCAGACGCCTTCATCGTTTGCCATTGATTTCAGTGTTTGCTTCTGTTCGATCATTTTTCAATCTCTTCTCTCTTATCGCTCTTTTTTTTTACCCCCCTTCAAAGTTCCACTTGAGGGGAACTTGCTTTATTCTGGACATGAGGCGTTTGTTATGGGTTTAAAGATCATGTTCTTCGAAGAATCATGTCTATATTGTTTCGAGGACCTCAGATTTCGGTGATCCTTGCGTCATTGACTTATGGCTTGTTGCGATACCATTTGATTGTTTGTTTGTGCTTACGCGTCTGATTATCTTGGTACAGCAATAGTTATTGGATGTTGGTTGTTCGCCATCTGGCATTGATAATATGTTCTTCATTTTCTCACTCTGGCTAAGCTGCAACTACGCCTGGAAGGAATAAGTCGGTTTTGGATAATGATAAGTAATACCGTGTCTATATAACCTCTTCCGGCCTGTCGGCTTGGACATTATATTCTGGAGAATTTCGTAGAAGAAAAATGCCTATGCAGTTGCGAACTATATACAATAACATGAGCCAGGCGCCGAAATCAGACAGCAAGTCCCAACATCTATGCAACTCTGCGGCGTTTCCAGCCGCCACCTCCACCGCCACTCGGCGCATCGTCGCCAGCCAAGGCTCTCCGCTCCATGGGCATCTCCTTTCTTTCCTTGGCGGCAGTCTTCTTGCGCTTCCTCTCGAGTGCCTTGGTGCGGTCCTTGGAGTTCATATTCTCGTACTTCTTGAGCAGCACCTGCTTCTTCAGGTCCGACTTCTTCAAGAAGTACGGGTTGCTCTTCTTTCCTTCGCGGATGAGCTGTTTCTCCTTCTTCTTATGCTCCGCTAAGATCTCCTTCTCGCGTTTCCTATTCTCCATCGCTCGAAGACGGTCTTGAGTCGACCGAATCGTACGCTTCAGAGCTTCTTTCTGTTCTTGGTTCTTCGTCTTGGCGTATTGTTCCTTCAACTGCTTCAGTTCGTCCCGGCGATACTCGTCCAAGAATGCGTAAGCGTTGCTCGTTCCTTGAGGGTTTCCGCGACCACCCTGGCTCAGGACAGTCGGGTCAAAACGGGGGTCTCGCGACTTGGGTACACTTGGCGGCTCAATGATGGTCCGTTTGCGGGAGACGGCATGTTTGGAGGATTGTACGGCCGGCGCATGCTTGGAGGAACGAGAGAGCTTTTCCGAATCCTTATTTTTCGCCAGCGCTTGGCGTTTCTGTTCGCGTGCCTCTTGAATCCGCGCCCGAATGTCGTCTAAGGGGGAAGGAGCGGCAGGCTCGTCTTCTGTCCGGGAGGCCTTGGACGACCGCTTTGATTTGGGTCCTATAGATGCTTGCGCTTTCGCCAATGCGCCGAACGAGATACTGCTTAGTGAGGCTTGAACGTCGTCCTGGGCATCATCATTGTCGTCTTCGTCATCTTCGTCGTCGTCATCGTCGTCATCATCCATATCTTCCGGGTCGCCTTGAGACTGTGAGATAGTCAGCATGTTGCAATGTCTATCCAAACGAGGGGAAACTAACCACATCGTCGTCGTCGTCTTCGTCTAGGGAACCATCACTGCCACTTTCTGAGCCTGACTCGTCAGAGCGGAGATCGTCGCTCGCCTGATCCGAGCCAGACTGGTCAGAGTAAAGCTCCTCGTCGTCCTGAGCGACAGCTCGCACACGGCGATTCAGTAGGTCTGAGATAGCCATTTGCGGATCATAAATGGGGGATGTATAACCGTAGATAGTCCACCCAAGTTGAGATGAAAACCTAAGCTGGCCGGGCGGTGAGATCGGCGGCCGAAAAAAAATGAGGCCGTTCTGCCCTTCTTAGAAGGCGGCGAGCAGATCGTCCCCACCTTGATTGGCCAGACCTCCCGATAAGTAGTCACTTTTTCTGCCTCCGCATATCTTCTATCTTTCTTTTATCGTTGGCTGCTCGCATCCTCTTTACTCTCCCTCCAGTGTCGCGGCGGATTCCTCCTTCGGTCGTTCGTCTGCCAGGAATCTTCCCTTCATGTTGCGAGTACGCCAATGCTGCTTCTTCCCTCGTTTGCCTCTACTTGCTATAAAGCCCCGCCCCGCCCCCATAGTTACCTCTCCTGATCGCAAGTCTCAAAGTGGGGTGTCCAAGGTGTGTACTCTTGGCTTTCATTTTTGGGGTACTTGTATAGCTGACACCTTTAACAGGCTGATCTGGGAACAGTCAACGCTCATTGTACTCCTTTCACTCCCCGCACATGCTTTCATATATCCTCGAGTTCACCCCGAGTTTTTGTCCACAACAGTCGGTCCGTTAAGCCCGACATGGAGTCAGCAAACGCACCGGCATTCGATGCCTCTAGTATAGACAGTCGCCTTTGTCATGATGGCTCCAATTCCTCCGTAGTGGGAGACGATAAGCCTGCATGGAGACCGTATAAAGGCCGTTGGGCTCGTCAGAAAATGAGGAATACCAAGCGCAACGGCACAGAAAATCCGGACACGACGGCTCCAGGAAATGCTCCCCCGTCTGCTCGTCCGCGGCAAAAGCTACCACGACGGAGCAAACAGTTAGCCGAAAAGAACATTCGCGAAGAGATGCAATCTCAAGCATCACAGTCTGCCGGTACAGCGTCCTATGTACCAGGTCAACCACCCCAGAACAGCTTTGGGGCGTTTGACAACATCAATTTGGCTGCTATGGTTCCCCCGTTCCAGAATGGCATGGCTGCGCCAAACGAAAATGTTCCAGGGTTTCAACAGCCCTTTTGGCAGCTCCCATGGGAGCAACAGCAATTGCTATTCCAAGCTCCTGTGGGTGAATCCACTAACCCTTCTTTCGGTTTCCCTCCGTTGAATGACATGGGTGCGTTCCCTGGTGGATTACCTCCCATGTTTCCGCCTGCGTTCATGAACTTTGCGCCAACGAATCCATTGATGACAATGCCACCGTTCGGACCCATGGCCTTCCAAGCAGCTGGCTCTGCTGGAATCAATACCCGCAATATGTCCAGTCAGGTCCCATCACCACGCCCGGGTTCTTCATCCAGGTCACGCGCTAGTCCTCGACCTCGTTCCAAAAGGTTCGACTCTCCGACACCACCTAAAAGAGCTATGCCAACACCGGCCTACCTCGAGCAGTCGTCAAAGCCAGCCAAACGGAACTCTTGGTCACAACCTCTACTAGTCATCCTGGATTTGAATGGCACGCTCGTCCACCGGCCTGACCGGTACATGCCACCTCGGTTTAAGAGAAGAGCGGGACTGGACATCTTCATACAGACGTTGATGCAGAAATACAAAGTCATGATATGGTCGAGTGCCCGACCTCCCACCGTAGACGGCATCTGCCGCCAACTCTTCATCAATGACAGCCGGACGCAAATCGTCGCCGAATGGCACCGCGAGCACTTCAATCTCACTCCGCAGCAATACGATGCCAAAATCCAGGTCTACAAAACCCTCAGTACCGTATGGGCCGACGAAAAGGTCCAAGCATCATACCCCAACCCCAAAGACCTAGGCTCGTCCGTGCCTGCAACCTTCCAAAAGACCCGCTGGGACCAAACCAACACCATCTTAATCGACGACACCCGCCTCAAAGCAAGCAGCGAACCAAGCAATCTCCTCGAAATTCCCACCTTCGACGGATCCTCCGGCGCCGAAGACGCCGCCACATTAACCAAGGTCCTCCAAATGCTCGAGGAGCTATCCTTACACGACGACGTCAGCCAAGTCCTCCACAAATGGTACAACTCGATCCCCAAAACAGGCAACCTCTGCCTGGACATCAAGCTCCAAGAAGACCCCGAAGCCCAACATCAACTCCAAACCCAATGCTACAACGGCCCCCTCACCCCAACGGAGATCGCCGAAGCACGCAAACAGCGCCGCAAAGCCCGCAAGCGTGAAAAGGTCGCCGAGAAAGCCAGAGCCCGTCAGATCCAGAAGCAAGAACAGCGTTTAGCCAAACAGTACCCACCCCCTCCCACATATACCCCAGGGGTCGTCGCCTCATCTACTGTCGATGAGACGAATACTGTCACACCACGTACAGATCTCTCTTCCTCCAACTCATTCCCTCCTCATTCTCCATCATCACCTTCATCTGACTCGACACCGGGTGGCACTGCTATACCAACAGGATATGATGTCAATGACAAGGTCAAAAGGACTTTGAGGGTTGATGGTGATGCTGATGATGCAAGTGATCGTTCCCCGTCGCCTGCTGCTTCAACTCAATCTGAGAATTATCTCTTGGATCGGTTGGAGGAGTCGTTGAAGACGGGTTGAGGGGTAGAGTGTTTCCTTCTGATATTGTGTCCTTTCTCGTTTGGTGTGGATATTGTATTCTGTATTGCGGGAGGTGGGTGTTGAACATGATATGGTATGGTGTATATGTGGTAGGAGTCAGACAGTCAGGGCTATGTTGTTAAAGAACAAAGCGGCTGGGCTGGGACCAGCTGGTTTACTTTACGTGTGCACAGTGAATTTCTCATGAACAGGCTATTATATTATAGAATACGATATGGCATATAGAGAGAGTACTATACCATACAATTACTACAACAATGATTTACTGCGGATAGAAATATCATGATCATGGAAAGCACAAAGTGCTAGTGGGTTTGTTTTTGACTAGCTACTGCTATGGTCCATATCAATCGTAAGCGTGGCATTACGCGTGAAATAAACAAGAAAAAGTTTTCTTTTGGAAGGAGTCGACGAAGAATGAAAACACGTAAACCGTTCCATCATGGGCAGCGTGGATATGTAAAAAAGGGCGGGGGTAAATAAACCCAAGTGGGGAAAAGCTATCAGATGGGATAGAAGTGGACCGGACGGGAAATAGCGCCCTGAACACTCTATCCCCACGAAAGCTCTCCCACACTCCGGTTGAGGAGAAAGAGACGGAGGTTATTTAAAGGTCGAGTTTCATCTCAGACGACTACCCAACGAGAGAGAAGAAGGGAAAATTTGGGATATCATCATCATGAATTGGCTACGTCTAACGCACCAGCTTATTTGAAGACGTGGCCGTCAGCGAAGGGGTACTCCTTGCCGTCAATGACGACGGGGACATCCCAAGCCCACTGGTCCTCGATGAGCTTGCGGTCCTCGGGGTTGGTGTGGTCGAGCTTGCGGAACTCGTAGCTCTCCCAGTCGGGGCCGACCTCGAAAGCGGGCTGGGAGTCCTGGCCACGGACCAGGAAGACACCCTGGATGACACAGTCGTAGTTGGCACCGTAGACGGCCTGGGCACCGAAGAGGTACTTGCGGGAAGCCTCAAGACGGGCGTGGAAACCACCGATCAGGTTGTTGGCCATGAAGGTAAGCTTCAGCTCGTTGTTGTACTTGTAGTTAACGGACCAGAGGGAGTACTCCTCGGGCTTGTAGTTCTGCCAGAACCAGGGCAGAGCAACGGGGCGGGTGTCCTCGTTGGAGTACTGGCGCTTCCACTCGTCAAGGACGAACTCGGAGCGGCCAAGAGCCTCAAGGGGGTGCTTGGGCTTCTTCTCCTCAGCGGGCTTGGGCTCAGCGGGGGCAGCGGCAGCGGGGGCAGCCTCCTTCTTGGGCTTCTCCTCCTTCTTGGGGGGAGTGTACTTGATGCACTCCTCGACGAAGACGGGGTTCTCGAAGACAGCCTTGAAGGCGGGCTGGTTGACGATGGTCTTGTACCAGCGGGTGATGGCAACGTTCTCGTCACGGAACTTCTTGTCCAGGACGGTAGCGAAGGCACGGGTGAGGAGAGCGGCAGTGAAGTAATCAGCCAGGGAGATGCGCTCGCCAACAAGGAAGGTGTTGGCAGTGAGGTAGGTGTTGAGAACGCCAGCGTTCTTCAGAGCAGCCTTGGAAGCATCCTCGACGTTCTTCTTGTTGTAGCCGTCAAGACCCAACAGAGGGCGGAACCAGGCACCGAAGCGGGGGAGGAGCTCGGAGTTGGCGAAGGACAACCAACGAAGGATGGAAGCGTAGTCCTGCTTGGTCTTACCCAAGAGGGTGGTCTTCTCGTTCTGGGAGGTCACTTTTATTCGAGTCAGCATGAGTTGTCCAACCTAATGACAATTGCGTGATCATCAAATAATCAAAACGAAATCTCTTCACCCCAAAAGTGGGGTAGAGAGATATTTTTTTCAGAGTCAAACGTTATCAACATTATTTTATTATTACCAGTTCTGACAGGGATAACTTGAAATAAAATACTCATCATAAAACAAGCAAACGAGATTGCAACGCGCAGGGCGTATTCAGGGAGAACGTACCGTAGACAGCGATGGCAATGACCTCAGACAGAGTGTAGCCGTTGGCACCCTCAAAGGCGGGGATCTTGCCGAGGGGGCTGATCTTGGTGTACTCAGCAGACTGGTTGAAAGAGGCACCGGAGTTGGGCTCAGTCTTGACCAGCTCAAGCTCAACGTCGTTGGCCTTAGCCGCGACGAGGCAGGCAATGGTGCGACCGTTCTCCTATGGAGACTATTAGCCAGGTGTTCTCAGCGACAGCAATAGGAAGCTAATCTAAACCCTGTGAAGGGGAAGAACAGCTTCCTGAACACATGCAGAAACACATACAGGGAGACCGTAGAGCTTTCCGAAGGCCATTGTGAAGGATGTGTGGGAGGAAGATGAGGAGGGAGGAGAAGAAGAAGAGAAAAAAAGGGAGAGAGGAGGAGGGGAAAAAGAGGGAGAAAAAAGGCGGCGGCAGCTTGTCGAGGGGCTCGAAACAAATTTGTGCGAATCAGACCGCTTCGGCGCCGGAGCAACCTTTGCTGCCGGGCACGTGATCTCTCCGGCGAAAAACCTCAGGATAGCAAGAAGTTGAAGGTTCCGGCGAATCTTGTCGGTTGGGTCCGTTGGTGTTCTTCGTCCTCTTTCTCCCTTCCCCAATCGCCCTTTTTCTCACCTCACATCCCTCCAGGCCCCTCCTTTGCCAGCCGGTCTGCAGCATCATGGCCTGGCAAAGCCCCAATGGCCTTGTGCACGCCATGCACTCCATCCGTCGAACTGCTCAATTGCGGCCTTTTGTCCAGCGCTCCGTGATCTCCGCATCATCCCCGGTCTCCTCTCCCTCCACGCCGGCTCTCCTCCAGCAATACAAGAATGCCCGCAGCTATGCGACAGAACTACAACCCGTTGCTGCTCCCCCCATTGAGTTCTCCAAATTCCAGATCCAGCCTGCCCGCATTATCCCCGTATCGCCGGCCTATTTCTCCGGCAGCCCCAAGTTCTTCGACCACATGCTGAAGCTGGAAGCCCTTCTGGCCAAGTATGCCGCACTACCCACGGTGTCTCCTAGCGAAGCCCCCAGAATGGCCTGGTTCAAGCTGCTTCAGTTCCGTGATGCCGTGGGCGAGCCCGTCCCGACCAAGAAGTACAAGGGCCTCATCAAGCTCCTGCAGCGTCTCAACCGCATCGACCCCAAGGTTGCCCCGGAGGAGGTGCGTACGGCTCTCAACTTCTTCCTTCGTCCGGGTAATCCGTATGGAAACAAGCCCGCCCCCAGAACGGTGGATGAACAGGGCAAGGCCCGTGGTAAGGGCAAGCGCAAGGCGTCCTCGGCGGTGGTGCAGCTCGTCGAGGGTGAGGGTGAAGTGTTGGTGAACGGAAAGACGCTGAACGAGGCTTTCCCTCGTCTACATGACCGTGAGAGTGCTGTCTGGCCTCTTCGGTGTACGTCACGGCTCGACAAGTATAACGTGTGGGCTACCGTTCGCGGTGGAGGAGTGACCGGTCAGGCGGAGGCTATTACATTGGCTGTTGCACGGGCTCTGCTGGTTCACGAACCTGCTCTTAAGCCTATCCTGCGGAAGGGTACGTATCTCCGACTCCTGACGAATTGGTTGGTCGTAGTGGAGCAAATTGCTGACCGATTTATTTTCTTACAGCTGGTGTGGTTACCGTGGATGCCCGTCGTGTGGAGAGAAAGAAGCCCGGTCATGTCAAGGCCCGCAAGATGCCCACTTGGGTCAAGCGGTGAAAGCACACCTGCCTACCTTACGCCCAGCTTCTTCTTCTCTCCCTCTGTCTTTTTACTTATCCCTCCCTCTCTGGCTTTTGGAGGGATTGTTTCTCTACCTGTCTTCTGTTTTCCCCTTTTCCCCTTTAATTTCCTTGGTTGTATTATTCCACTTGGCCTTGTGATTCTCGACGAAAGTATATCCTGTATTGCAAGCATCTCAACCTGGTGTCACGAGGATTCGTTTCAGGACACGACACTGCATGTTCTCGGCGACAAGCATGTAACTATTGGCGTTGAACAATTGAACCGAAACTATAGTGTAGACCATCTGTGCGACGGGGGTGTTGAGCATAATTGGACGAGGTAGAAATGCCCCGTTGACTAAGAGGATTATCCGAGGGTGACTTGTTTGTCCAACAGTACTTGGGAATTGTGGTCAATGAGCATGATCTCTTTCCTCCGACCATCTTGTCACCCACCCCCTTTCCAGACAAAGGGAGGTTTCGGGGGGAGGAAGGGGGGAAGTTGTTGGACACTAGGACGGCCAGACTCGTGGTCGCTATAGGGGAACTGTAAAAGGGGGACATAACGCGACCAAGATGTACATAATCTACTGTCTTAGTAGGCACAAACACCGTTAACCTTTAAGAAACGGGCACCGAAGATCATTTAACCAGAATGAACGTTTCAGGCTAGTCAGTAGTCCCTCCTAGCAACTAGCCAGACTCATGATTGCCTAGATAGGTTGCGGGATTGAATCCAGCCTGATAATAGTAGCGACCAGAATCTCTCGTTACACAGGGAGCCCCAAGCGGTCGGTAGTGTCGAACTCCAGGACGCGACTATCCATAACGTGGCGCCCCATTGATCGTGGACTGAAAAGAAGGAAAGGTGATGAACCGAAAGGTACTCTCGGCCTTCCACTTCCTTTCCCTTCCTTACCCCCCTATAGAGAAAGAAAAGACGGGCTGGAACCTGCTGGTGGTAACACAGAGAGCGAAGCGAGGTTCCAGATGAATGAGATGAGCCTTTTCTTTTTGTCTTTTCTTACTCCCGGGGCTCGGACGACGCGATAGGAAGGTATATACGGCCGGATCTTTCTCATCAAATGGGTGTGGTTGGTTGTGTCGTCATCCGTTCGATTGGGAATTCCCTCCATCATGATTGGGGCAAGCATTCATCTGCCTGCTGCTGTTGTGGTCATGGCCAGCGTCATCTTACACCTTTGTGTCTCGGGAACTCATGGGATCCTGGAAGTGACGTTATTGGACGATGCGATCGAGATCTAAAACTAGAGTATTCGTCAGGCTGTGGCGGAGAAGGGGAGCAGCCCTGTAGTTGGTCGGCCAATTGGACAAGGTGGAAGCAGCATTGTTTTACGCGGACCTATGGGGTGAGAAAGGAAAAGAGCTGCCTTGGTGATGCTGATGGTAATCGACTGATGACTATATCGGAGAAATGGGGTAGAGAAAATTAAGGGAAGTGGTCTTGTGTGTGGATATGAGCCCACCGCCGATGAGCAAATCAGGTGGAGATTATAGTCCCACACATAATGGCATTATAGCCTCTCCGCGGATAAGTTTGATAATTGGGAGTCATGCAGTACGTTTGGTGGGTTCATTGTATTCATTAAACACCAGACCATGCCAGCTCTGCCAGTGAGAGTGTTTAAGAATCGTGCGCATGCAGTTGTGTAGACAAGCTTCCGATTGATACCGAAGAGATTGTATCTCCAGATATCGCCGAAATTAGCGTCGTATAGAGCGCTTTACTATACTGTGCACTTGCCTGCTTGGTCGTAGCTCCCTGAGCCAGCGGCTCAGAGGGATAATGACAGGACACTCGGATCCCCGGCTGGCACGAAGAGCAGCTGTCAGAACAAGCACGAGGCGAGCCCATCCTATGTCGCCTGTTCCATTGTCCTGGGCTTGACGATCATCCTTATGAATAACCACTAAAGGATGCGATGGTCGACTGATGACTGCGATCCTGAAATCTAGTGTGAAAGTGGTGAGGCTGGACCCGCCTCACTTTCATACCCTTAAACCTTGGAAACCTTGGGAACCATGTCCTATGAGCTCCGTATATCGCTCAAGATAACTCGGACCCATGATTTGGAATCTCTTCTCGTGGAGACGCCGTACTTTCGGCGCGTGCGTGGGGATCACGGCCCCCAGGTCTAGCTGGAGTTTCTGACAGGCCCTAAAAGCGGCGCCGGCTCTTCGGACGCTGTTCTAGTGGCACGCCGGGCTTCACCCTGTCACGCCCTACCATTTAGCGCTCCACTGGTGCTAGTAGTAATGCGAACATTCCAAAATCTCATGACAGAAAACAATTGGGAAAATGGAGAATAGAATACATCTAACCCAAAATAAGAAAAGGAAATGGAATTAAGACCAGATCCCGGTCTCCTTGCGCTGCAGACTAAAGTTAGCTTGCTCCAATCGCAGTGCTGTAGATCCCCCCTGTTGCCCCGACAAGCGTGGCCTCGATTGGTCGCTGAAGGTGCACGACCTTCCCAGCAGGCCGGAAGGTGTGCGACCCGGCAGCTTAGCCAGGCACGGCACGATCATTGACTTCATCCATCGATTGAGCGACTTCACTGGCTGTATGGAGATCCTTGATTGGGATCGGACCAAGCAGAAGTCTGCAACAATCGACAGAAAGTCCTGCGAAACCTGGACCGTGCTGGGAGGTGGTAGCTGGATGGCTGCATGATGCAAAGACCAGTACTATTTTCCCGACCCGGTACTCCATACTTGGACTATTCTGCTGGGACATCACAATTCGCTGCGTTTAAACATTTTGGTACACAATAATGCACTGATCGATCCACCATCCAGCTCCCCGGTGTCGTCTAATCCCAGAAAGCGGTTCTTCCCGGGGTCCTAAGCCGATCTTCGTAAAGCTCAGTGGCCATGGCGGCGGGTTTCCGTGGAACCGGACCGCGAAAGTAGTACTTTTACTGCTTCTTGCCTTGTTCTGGGTGTTCCTTCGGCTGCTTCCAATTTACTTTTTCTTATCCTTTTCATACAGATGGGCGTAGATCTTCCCCCGGCTTGCAAACCCGATCCAGAAGACTGGGACACGGTTCGGTGCATGGACCAGAAGACGATCACCCAAATAGCGTTTCGGAAGGGCTTAAAGTTGACTTTGAAGGCTGTTCGGGGAAGTCGGCCCAGCAAGTGGGAATCAATCAATTAATCAATCGATCCATTGATTGTGGAGCGAGTAGACGGATCCCTGAATTTGGAATGAGGACTAGGTGTGTCTCAGTAGTGTTGAAGTTCAAAAGCTGAGGTTAGCCTGGACGGCTTTAGTCCCTGACTAGTAGATACTAGAGAGTACTTAGAGGATCCATACCTGGGTCAGTACAATATGTAGTTATGGGCCGTCCCCTCTTGGGACAATTAACCTTAATCACATCCTCCAGGAGGCAATCAGAGGGAGAGCGGACAGGGAGACGAGGGAGTGTTGACAAGGTGCATGAACGGATAGTGTGATATGGGGATGTAGATAATGCTGAGTCGGGTTCAAGCAGGTACTTTTCAGCCCCGAATAGCCCCGCGCGCCTCGTGTCTGACTGATCTTCAGCACGATTGCAAAGATCCTTGGCTCCCGACACCTTTTATTATTTTTTATTTTTATTTTTTTCATTTTTCAATTTTTCGTTTCGTAGGAATGCGATGGATCTGAGGCGGCTCCTGTGGGGGCCGCCATCGTAACTATGAAGTGATCCTAGTGATCCTCCTGTCTGCCGCTCACACGCTCCACACGCTCTCTCTCTTTCTCTCACTCTCTCTTACTCTTGTCTCAGCACCACCCACCATCTGTAAACTTCTCGCATCCTTTGGTCATCGTCCCGGTGGATTGGTCCGCAAAAGGAATATGAGCTGATCAATTAGTTCAGCAGAGGGAGCCATTCTAGGTTCGCACCAGTGACTGATACCCGTTTCGGGACGTAGTGCGTCCCATTTGGATGGATCAATCAGTTTCCTTGCGGCGGTGGGGGTTTTTTTTAAGGGAAGAAGAAGAGCCGGAGGGGGATTCAAGGAACACGAAGATGAACAATGAAGGAAAGGGGGTGGTAGAAATTAACCATGCAAACAATCATGCTTTGTGTTTTCTTCTTTTTTCCTTCTTCGTTTCCTTCTTTTGTTACTGTTCTGTTGCTGCTGCTGTCGTTGTCAGGTATTGAATTAGGCTCAGCCTACCAATCTATTTGTGACCAAAACACACAACATCCCCCTACGTTTTAACCTAAACAATTGAATTAAATATGGCAAGATACAAATTAATAAACCCCCATGAATTAAGACAGAGAATTATAATTTATTTGTTTATAAAATTCAAATGTCATCCATTCTCCACTTTTATTCGGAGAAATAAAATAATAGAATAAAAAATAAAAATAAAAATAAAAAAAAAGCCACTGCAGGGAAAATGGCAGGAGGGAAAATGAAGAAAAAGAAGAAAAAGAAAAGAAAAAGCCTCCTGCATCTGGTTTGATTGCTGGTTTAGTCTCTGCGTTCCCTCATTTCTTTTTCCTTCATCCCAGGGATTTTTTCCATCTCGGTGGGCTTCGTTTGTTTTTTGCCCTCGTTTCTCGCGCTTTCTAGTCATTGCTGATGTCTTATTCGTTTCTTTCTTTTTTTCGGGTCTGCAAGTCCCTCGGATGGGTCCATTATGCGCGCGTGAAGGAGGGTCTCTCAGCCTGTCTCTTGGGCTGTCCGGTGCCCACTGGGGGAGAAGCGACAAAAAGGCATGACTGACTGACTGAGTGACTGACTGACTCGGACTGAACCTGATTCGGCCTGATCTGAGTTGAGCTGACCCGACTTGATACTGGCACCTTTTTCTTCTGTTTCATGGTTTCCTGCTGTCCATCCCGACTAACCTGATCGACCGGCCCCAGAGGCTTTCCAATAATTCCCTGCGGATCTTCCGGCCTCTTGCTGTCCCATCAGCCTGGTTGCTCGATGCTATAAGTAATCCGTGCATCCCAATCTTCTCCCGGTCCGCTGGTCCCCCACTTCTCCCCTCCTCACTTGGCCTCATCCATCTTCTTCTTTCGTCGTCATCGTCCTCGTCCTCGTCTTCTTCTTCTCCTTCCTCCTCTTTTGTACTCTTGAGCATTTGGGGTCAGAAGATCCCAAGTTGTTCCCAGTCAGCACCGGTCTTCAACTCAGATCTGGAGCATAAGCATATCCCAAGTCCCGCTCTTGTCGACCCCACTAGGCCCCTAGTTCCTGGCATCATCCTACCAGTCTTGATTCTCGTCTTGTGGACTATTCTATATCGCCTTCTCCTTCCTCTCTCTCTCCGAGTGGGTTAGAAACAATACCCCTCTTTTCTCTTGTCCTCCGCCCCGCCATCCCAGTCTTCTACATAGATCGAGCCCCGGGTTGTGCGATTCACCCCAAATCCAGGGCCGAGCTATCGTCTTGAACAGATTTCTGGCTTTTCTACAAGGTGCGCAAACATCTAGAGTAAACAACTATTTCCTACTGCTACACATCTGCACTCATGTGGTTTGGCGACGACTGATCGGTGGGTGACTATCTAGATCGCGTGCGCTGGTTGTACCCGCGTCCCTGCGCTGAAGTGAAACCGTGAGACCCTCCGCGCGCTTACCTGCGATTCTTGTTGGCTTGGATCTCAATTCCCTGCTAGAAGGAAAAGCCACCGAGCGAATAAGCTAGGGCATCCCACCTCCTACCTCAGAAACAGCCGATCGCTCCCTCCCGCCAAGCTGGAATCCTACGTGAGCCCGCCGCTCTCCCCACTCGCGCATTGGTCTCTCGACCTCGATCCAGTGCGTGGGGGTATGGATGGCGAGATCCGGCGCATGAAGCAGCATGATCCTCATACCCGCTTTGCGACTAGAGCTGGCATGTCCCGCCGCGCGGCGGATCGCTTCAGACAGACTGGAGTGCCATCCGCACGGGGAGATCCCTCTCAGGCTACCGGGCGTCCTCGAGTGCCCACGTACCTGGACTATGGATACACCGACACTTCCTTTCAAGGCGGTTCGCTACAGGGGGATGAGTTGCAATCATACACGCCAACGTTGCGCGACCAACAGCGCCAGCATCAGCCGGTACACCAGCCGTTAGCTCCTTATGACTCCGAGATGGTATACAACCTCAGCCAGCAGGACCCGGGACAAGCCCCGTACGAGCTCGTCCCACCATACCCGTCACGGCAATCTGCAGCGATGGAAGCACTGTCTAGTCAGTTTGGTGTTCCACAATATTTCCCGCCAAATGAACCGACGGCCACAGGGGTTCCGGCCATGGGTCCGCCCTACCTGTCATCGCAGCTCCCTTTGTCCGCATATAACCAAGCCGGCGCCATTGGACGCTCGAGCGCTCCGCACGTCTTTCCCGCAGCTATGGCCGAACTGACTCCGGTGGGAGTGTCTGGACGTTTGGAGCAGCCTCCGTCGCCGTCGCAGCAACAGCAGCAGCAACAACACTTACAAACACCGTCCCGCGTGGGGCCCGAGTCGACTGGCCTGAAGGAAGCCTTTGCCCAGTTCCAACGAGCATTGCGAGAGACATTTGATAGTACGCGCGCCGGCCGATTGGTAGAGGCTAGTAGATCACTCTTGGAAATCTCCGAGTGGCTTGTGACTAATGCGCGGGAGCTCGGTATGTCCCCTTAGCGTTCTCACCAATTCCCACGCCAATGGGTTTCTTACCCACCCTCCCCCCTCTTTAGCTCCTGGCCCGGTTACTACCTGCATGTACCTAAAAATGCATGGTACTTCATTCGCACTCGCTTGACGTACACGGCGAGACCGGGGTTTGAGCGACTAGTTTGTGAACCTTAAGGCTAATTCGGCTCTATCATTAGGTATCCTCCGGGATGATCAAATGCTACATGCGGATCGACTGCAAATTTGGAATGATTTCAATATTTGTTGGCTAGCGGTATGCCAGAAGCAGAAAGATCTGGCTCAGGAACTGCTGCAAACCGGTCGCCAGCCGCCCCAAACTAGTCTCCTCAGTGGCGACGCGATGGAAAATATGGGCAAAGAGCTGATCCAGTTCTGCGATCGGATGGAGCCCCATGGGCTAGTTGATTACCAGATGGGGATTTGGGAGGAGGAGATTCTCTCCAGTGAGTTGCTCTTTAGGAAGATTTCTTCCCATTATACCGTAAAGGGTTTCTAACGCGCTTGACAGTCATGGGCCAGTGTCTGGATATTGTCGAAGGCCGACCGGACGTCTTTCGCTCCCAAGCCGCTTCGCGATGACGGGCATTGAAGCCTTAACTTGGGGCCGCGCATAACCGGGTTGGATGCTGGAGGGACGCCTGGCGCAGACTCGGCTGGATCGTACTTTTGTGATGGTGGCGGGCTTAGGGCCCCTAACGCAGGGACTAGTTTAGTCTAGTGGATGGGAGCAAAGCCAACCCGACGCCCAGCGCCGGACTATCGATTGATAGATCGCGGCGTCCGAGTAAGCCTCGTCACGACTCGTGGCTCACGACTTTTCCTTGGTCTCCTTTTTCCTTTTTCGTTTCCTTGACCAGGCCATCGGTAACCCCCAAATTCCTCTTTCCACAGTTTTGGATACGTCGGGCGTGTTCAGGCACCGCCCCCACTCCATGCTGGCCCCTCGTGTCAGCTCATTTCCCGGGTCAGGATTCCGCCCTATTGGCAGGAGAGAATCTGGGTATGCCAGCTGAGGGAAAGAGAACGGGATGGATAAAAAAAAACAAAAACAAAAATTGGAAAAAAAAAAAAAAATGTTGAGAAACAACAGGACGCTACTTGTTCTCCAGTCGGCGTTTGAAGGGTTATGAACACTCCACATCTTTGTTTCGCATTTAGGGAGCAAAGATCTGGTCGGGCGCAATGGGGTTTCAGGAAATAGACCTGAACGGAGGCCTGAACTGATTTACTTGGTTGGGATATAAGTCGTTGGCGGCTGTGTGTGACGCTATGTGGTGATGGCTTAAGTGCGGCTGAACTGAACCAGATCCTGCGACCAGAAATCTTTCGTTCCACCTTCGGTCAAACTCCGAGCAGTGATGGATGGATGCCCGACAATGAAGGAGACACAGGCCTTGACCGGGGCTGATGTTCTCGATTGTTCTACTGTCTCATCGAGTGTTCAACACCACCCCGTTCGGGGGCAACATGAAGGATCGGGCGGATGGGATTCAATTCCTTGTACGATAGTATCCTTTTTCTCCTTTGTGTTTGATTTCCATTGTAATAGTTTAGGATTTAAGATACCCAACTTAGTAGTTATAATAAACTTAGTATTAGGACTTCATCAGCAGTCTAGTCTAGTCTAGTTTGCAGCCCAACCATCATACCAAACACCTGGGAACAAACAGGACAGGGATCAGAGAATGGAAAGGAAAAGTAAGATTAGATCCTGCAGACGCACCCAGCAAACAAGATACCGGCATTTACTTCACACATGCACAGCGGATTTACATATGCAGCATGAGATCATCATATATTCATTCATGCAAGGTACTTCTTCCGTCCTTCGTTCATGGAAACGTCAAGAAATAATACTTGTCATAAGTTCACAAGGATCTGACCCAGAGATCAGGGAATAGTTGCAGTAGTGGGAAACTTTAAGGCCAGGGTATATATCATACATACATGTACTTTTGTTGTCTTTAAAGTGGAGTGGAAGGTGGGGGTGATCGGGCAGTATTGGTGGGTATTTTATGATCAGGGGAAATGGGATGGGTTGCCCGGTTGGGCAGGAGTGAGATTATAGTGTTGCTTCGATAGTATAGAAGGTAGTAACTAGTATGTTATGGTGTTATGGAGTATCGGGGTACTCGTATGGGGATTTGAAAACAGTTTAAGTTGAGTGACTTGGTAGTATATATTTTCATTAGATTATAGTAAGAATAAGATAATTACGAAGTACGATTTACTAGATGAAGATCTTTTTGGCATCAGTAAATATTTGGGTTGTTACTATTATACGATGATCTGACAGAGTCAACATAGGTCTTAGTAGAAGAGAGAGGAGGTGAAGACTATGTACTATCTCTATTTACTGTAGTATCTTTGTAGGGTGAAAGATATGATATAATAGAATAGGAAGTAAATAAAGAGATCCGCTTGACAATCTGGTAAGTAATGAATGTTAGTATCGAGAGCTGGTGGATAGTCGAGATACACTAACTACATCTTTTATACTTACTATCCCCATGACTCTGAGACTATATTGTAGAATAATATTGCCTGCTACTTCTATTTACTCGATTAACATTGTGAAGATGAAGGTAGGATAATGCTTTCAAGATGGCATGTATTTCACTCATTCATTTGCTACAAATCGAACAATCCCGAAGGCTATATCTATCTTCAAGATATACACCAGAAAGTATCAAGGTGGTGGTAATGGCAATTGGGCTGGTCAGTTGCTGTTCTCACCATACCAGAAAGCTGCATACTCGGCCAACTTCTGTAATGCAATATCCATACTGCGGCCAGAGTAAGCAACCTTCACAGTGGTTCTCCCTGTACGACTTTCAACCATATAAGAGAACTTTGTCCCCAGAACAGGATCAACGATAGGGTCCCACAGCAGCTCACGAAAATATAACGTTCCATATCGCCCCCGCGTCGTATATCCGCTTAGTTGACTTACAGAAATTTCGGTCAGTGATGAAGATTCGGAAAGGGTTCTGAAAATGGCCGGCCACCCCCCAAAATCGATTTTAAAAGAGCTGAAGTGTATTTTGACCAAGGTCTGCTTGGAGGAGAACAGAAACCTGATCAAATCCTGGTCTGAGTCCACGCAGCCACAAATCAGATCCAGCTCTTGTAGTCTTAGGGGAGGCCGTATCATCAGAGACAAGTCAAACATAAGAGGCGCCGAGCATTCGCCGAAAGAAAAATCAATTGTCAGTCGTTTTAGGCGCGGCTTCGAATGATGTATGAGATGCACCACAAAATCAGCCTCGACTTCTTCCTCCACTTTGAATCTAAACGTGAGGGCTTCCAGACTAGAACAGCATGTAGTAATGAACTTCGGATCTTGAAGGAGGCTGTTGTGGACGCGGGACAAGTCGAGCTGGTCCACCGAAATGATATTTGGCCGTTTGAACAAGATACTAAGCTCTCGTATTGGACGCTCTATTGCAATGACAATGCTGAGCAGGATTGTAATTGCATCGTTAGGGGTTGTTCGATCGAATGGGTCGGGATCAACGGGCGTGTCCCACTTGTACAGACGAAATTTCTGGCAATTCACTAGGCGCAGTAATACACTTTGCCACCGTTGAATAGATTCTTGTGGGATAACAAGGATTCCAGACCGGTGATGTTCCCACGTAAGTCCCGATCCTATGATATCCTGTTCTGTGCCGTCAATATTCAATGTTTGGACAAAGGGGCACAGTCGTTGATTCCGCGATAATGTGTCTAGCTTCTGTAGCGATGCCAGAGACAGGTCTGTCGTTATGTTTTCGAGATACTTGCAAAATCGAGGAAAGGAGCAGTCGTATATGGCTTTGCAGGTGAGACGGAAAGAACATAAGGCTGAGCAGTCTAAGCAAGCGCTTATTAAAAGCAAGAGTTCAGGTGGCAGGGTGCAAAAGGGCGAAGAAATGGACATCTACGGACTCATGAGGACTGCTTGGAGGGAAGAGAGGAAGAGTTCGGTGCTTCAGCAAGGCTGGGAGGATAACTTGGTAAGTTTGTATACTAACCTACCAGCTAACTTACAGTTATGGCAAAGGACGGAGAACATCCCCGCATTCTAGCTTACATCAGCAGGGCCAGGGGATCCTTTCTAACTATTTGAGAATTGGGCTTAGTAGCGTTATTGCTGGACTGTTAGTACTTTCATCATCTCTACGCAGAAGAAGGTCCTCTAAGCTTATGGCTGGTCAATTTTCGGTCTCCAGAAGAGACAGTATGGAGTATCCCGTAGACCTCTTGTGGGCACATACGTACATCCAACATTCGTAGGCATATGCCAGACGCGAATATACAGAGTGAATGAATATTACTTCGATTTATGCGGCTGGGATCAACCTATAATGGCCTGCTTTCCTCTAACCGAAGAGGCAGGCGCACCTGAACTGCACCTTTTGAGGGCCGCGATTTCCCAATCCAGTAGTAAACACTTCACCACATCCAGTTAGCGTGAATCCTTCTCTAGATAGTCCCAATCTTGCTCACTCAGCGACACAGGCACTCTCGTTGATACCTCCATCCTGATCATGTCGAAATGCGCAATCCTCAATCCTCGAAGAAGGATAAACAAGTTACTACGTCGCTGAATGCGCTCAAAGAGAGTAGTTCGCGTCTGAACCGGTCGGGGAAATCCCGAATAAGACATTGGGCCCCCAAAGTGAAGACTGGTTGTATGACATGCCGGTAAGCTTCATAACTCTGCCGCTGGAACATGGAGTCGTTGACGCAGGCAGAATCCGGAGAGTGAAATGTGACGAGACAAAACCCGCGTTAGTACTCTTCCATGACTGATTATAGGAAAGATACTATTATAGTCCGGGCTGCTGACGGTTATAGCTCGGTAGTTGCCAGCGATGCTCTTCCACCGGAAGAAAATGCGATGGCTACAATTTGATCCCCCAAAAGCCGCCCACCCCGGCCCTCGGTCTGATTCAAATGCCTTCCTATTGGGAGCTAGTGTCAGGCGACCGTGTAGAAACCGAGAGTTTTCGGTTCTTTCACTCAGTCACTACGCCCGATTTGGCTGGCTTCTTCGACCAGGGCCGCTGGGCTCGCAGATTGCTCCAAATGTCGCATCAGTACCCGGTTCTGTGGCATGCCATGACCGCGGTGGCCTGCATTCACCGAGACTTCATGACCAACACCACGCCTATTACCGTCTCACGGTCGCAGGATAGCCTCCAGGTGAGGCTTGCGTTGCAGCAGTGGAACAAGTCCATTCAAAGACTACAAGAACTGCTGTCAGAACGGGTTTTGACCAAATTTGACAGACTGGTCATCCTTAGTGTTTGTATCTTATTCATTACCATGGCGAGCTTGCAGGGCCGCCAGTGGCAGGCTTTCGTGCACATCAACAGCGGACTGAAACTAATTCATCAGTGGAATTTCGCGGACCAAGACAAAAGCCAGAGAGATGAGGGTTTAGATATGGATGTGTTGCTTGTCTTGTTCACCCAACTGGACTCGCAAGCGCGCCCCTACCTTCCTAGCCTTTCGAATAGCCTTCACTGGACGGACAAGCAGATTATTTTGTCGTCGTCTACCATCCCCTTCAAGACTTTGCTGGAAGCGTGTGTTGCTTTGGAGGTGCATTTTAACAGTATGATGCAAATTTTCACAAGCACATCCATATATATCAATGGTCCAGATGCTGGGATTCAGATCAAGAAACAGCAGTGCCTTATTGATCTTACTGAATGGGATGCCAGGCTCGACAGATATCTCGAAACAAAACCACACCCAGAAGGTGGGAAGGCTTTGAAACTTCTCTACGCCCGGCGCAGACTCGCACAAGTGGCTCTGTCTATGGACCTGACAAAAGGCGAACTAGCTCACGACGACTTCGTCGAGGATTACGCATATATGCTCGAGTTGATGGGCTACATTCTAGAAGACCCCATGGATTCCTTAGACAGCCAGCCTGGGAATATAGACCGGCCACAAAAAATGAGCTTCCGCCTAGAGACGATCACGACGGAGCCATTATTCCTGATTGCACTCCGCTGTCGCGAACCCACGATCAGGCGGCAGGCGATCCGTCTACTTAGACAGTACCCGCGGCGCGAAGGCATCTGCGAGGGCATGGCAGCCCTGAAGATTGCGGAGCGAGTGATGGAAATTGAAGAGGAATGCTTGACCAGTCCTGAAAACGCTTGCGTTCATGGAAAGTGGATATGTGAGAACCACCGGGTGACTTGGCTACAGTTCTTCCTGGTTCATGATCGGCAGGCGCGGACTGTGATGCACACTCGGGAGGACTTGCTGCACGGTCGGCCTGGAAGAGAAATTCTGACGACTTATTGGTGATTTTATTTGGTATAAAGATATGTATATAGATAGACGGCATGCTGCACAGGCTACCTGCTATGAGTTATGAGGAAGACGGCAGGAATGTATATACCATTTCAGATCTACCAATGCTGCAGAGCAGTAATTAGATATTACTTACTAAATATATGAATGATTTGTAGAGACGATCATACAAACACTGTATTATCTCATAGCAACATATCAAGATTACGTATTACCGATGATGTATCAACAAAATTATCCATCCTCCACATAAACATTCACTCCCTCCTTACCCAACAACTCCTACCATTAATTTCTTCCCCCCACAATAGTAACCATCCCAGTGCTAACAGAAGTACCAGGCACAGTACTCGAAGCAGTGGTAGTAGACATAGACAAAACCCCTACACAGATCTCCATATCAGGAACCAACCCCTCAAGACAATTTCTCTTTCCCGAGAGGGCCGGATTCCAGGTATACAGATCTGCCATGGTGATGCCGTTGAAGTGGATGATGTCGTAGCAGTCATCGTGACTATTATCATTAGTTTCGTCATAGCGTGATTTGAGATTGAGGATAAGAGGGTATAGGTAGAGGGTTACTCACACCGACACAAGCCACCACTTATTACAGTCCTTAGTGACGCCCGGTTGGCGCGGATGAGCGGTGGGGAAGGTCACGGTGGTGGATACGGGTCTTGTGCGGGTTTTGGGAGTGCTGGGGTCGGCGATGCAGTAGTAGTAGCCGTTCTATATCATATCGCGAGTTGAGTTATATTGTGAATTCAAAAAATAAAATAAAAAAAAAAAAAAAAGGAAGAAGGATATTGGGGAAAGGGAAAAATACATACCTCCAAACCAATGCATTTAACACCGACAGCAGGATTCCACGCCACAAACTGGGCCTTATCGAATGTGCCGAACATCTCCACGATCAAATCGCACGTGTCACCATCTTCCTTCTTGTACCAGGCTGTGCAGTTCTTGGCTGTGCCCGCCTTTATTGGATAGGGTTGGTTAGTGAAGGTGGGTGGGAAGGGGAGGTTGGTGCTGTTGTAGGCTGCGATGCAGTAGAAGTAGCCTGGTAGGATACCGGAGCAGTCTGCTTTTAGGGCTGGGTTCCATTCGAACAGGAGGGGGAATTTCAGCATGGGATTGCTGGCGAGGATTTGGTCGCAGGTGTCGGACTGGGTTCGTCAGTAATGTAGGTATGTATGTGTGTGGTAAATAATACTTACAGGCTGAGCTTCGTAGAAGGCTGAACAGCTTGGAGCAAGACCAGGTTGGGTTTTGGTGGGTGGGTAAACGGCCGTCTCCGTCGGAAGGGGACGCGGCGTCCAGGGAGTGGGATCGGGGACGGTGCCATTGGTGGTCGGATAGATTATGGTGAGAGCGGGGCGTTTGATACCCACGCACACCCAGTAGCCGGCGATGGGGTAGTCGCAGTCTGCTTTAAGGTCGGGGTTCCATTCCAGTCTGGGATTTTTTATGTTAGATAGGACTGACTCGGGTAGGAAGGATGGGTACTTACAGCTCGTCCATGGTGATGCTGTTGCCGTGGCGCTGGTAAATTGATCTGCAGGTGTCTCCTGGCGCCACTAGATGCCATTTGTCACAGTTTTTGGGCTGGCCGGGGTGGGTTTTGGTCGGAGGCCATGCGGTGTCAATGGGCGTTATGGTCTGGTTGTATGTGGTGATGGGATTGCGGGTTGAGTAGGTCGCGTTGGTCGTGACCATTGTGCTAGGAGTAGGTGTGATAGAGGGCGAACGGGGGGTTGTTGAGGTTACAGTCCTGGGAGTGGTGGGAGCGCTTGGACTGGTCAACGTAGTTGAAGTGTCAGAAGTACTTGAAGTCACAGTGGTCGAAGCACTCGAAGTCGAAGTGGTGGAACTAGACGTGGTCGATGGGGGCAGGGCCGTTGTCGATGTAGTTAAAGTACCAAGAGTTGTAGACGGGCTAACGGTCGTAGTCAGAGTAGTAGTAACTATTACAGTAGTCTGACCATTCGAAGTCAAAGTTGTAGTGAAAGTAAGAGTGGTGGTGAAAGTGGTGAAAACTGTCGTAGGTGCCAAGCTAGTCGAAGTGGTCGACATGCTAGTAGTCCAAGCAGTAGAGGTAGTAGATGTGTGAAGGGCAGTTGTCGAAGTGGTGGACGTAGTTGAAGTGGTTAAACTTGTTGAAGTCGAAGCTGAAGTCGCTGTCGCTGTCACAGTCGATGTCAAAGTCGGGGCAACCGGTCCAACGCCCACACAGTACGCATAATCTGGCCAGAAATTGACCAAGCAGTCTAGAGAGACAGCCGGATTCCACTGTTGAAATTGTTGGGGGCTGATACCAAAAGCCTTCTCGACAGCATAGCAAGTATCACCCTTTTTGGCAGTATAAAACTGGATGCAATTTGGGGCAATGCCTGGCATAGTAGGACCATGAGGACCATTTCCGGCTGGCCCAACACCCACACAATAAGCATATCCGGCCCAGAAGTTGACCAGACAGTCCAAAGAAACAGCGGGATTCCACTGCTGAAACTGCTGCGGAGTGAGCCCGAATGCTTTCTCTACTGCATAACAATTATCTCCCTTTTGGGCAGTGTACCACCGGTTACAGTTTGCTGCAATGCCAGTCATGGTTGGGGCATGAGGAGCAGTGTCTGCAGATGTTGGGATTGCTACTGGACCAATTCCCACGCAGTAGGCGTAGCCCGGCCAGAAGTTGACCAGACAATCATGGGAGACCGCAGGGTTCCACTGCTGGAATTGCTGCGGAGTGAGCCCAAATACTTTCTCCACTGCATAGCAGTTGTCTCCTTTCTGGGCAGTGTACCAACGGTTGCAATTTACTGCGATACCAGTCATGGTAGGAGCATGAGGAGCAGTGTCTGCAGATGTTGGAGTTGCTGCCGGTCCAACTCCCACGCAGTATGCGAAGCCCGGCCAGAAGTTGACCAGGCAGTCATGGGAGACTGCAGGATTCCACTGTTGGAATTGCTGGGGGGTAAGTCCAAACGCCTTTTCCAACCCATAGCAGGTATCGCCCTTTTTGATGGTGAACCATCGGTTGCAATCGGATGGGGTTCCTGACATGGTTGGGCCAAGAGGGGTGGGATTTGCTATAGTGCCAGCGGCATCGATAGCAGGGGATTGAGCAGCTGCAGTCCATAGCAGTAGCAGCAGGGCAGACAGCCATGTAGGAAGAGTACCCATTATGGTGGATAGTTCCTGGTCAGTGTTGTATTGAGAGAATCTGTAGGGACTGTAGGGAGGAACAAGGAAGGTGGTGAGGAAAAAGAAAATGAGAGGGAGCGGAAAATCAAAGCAGTGGAATTTATGGGAGCTTTACGGCGAAAAATTCTGGGCTGGAGTGAAGGCTCAAAGTGAAGTGAAAGGGATTGAGCAAGAGTCACTGGCTGGCAGGTAATGATTCGATTAACTACAACTTCACTTTGTCATTTCCCACATTAACTCATTCTAACTACGCCATACACATTCGTTCGTCCGAATGGCTTTCCCCCAACAGTGAAAGAACAAGTACAGCCACACTCTCCCTCTCTGACCCTCACTCCATCAGCAGGCTTACCACCCTCTTAGCAAAAGTGGCTTCTAGGTAAAACAGCCGGCGTATGTTCTGAATGTCGAATAGTTAGGGCTTCTGGGATCGTTGAACAGGATCCTCACTGGTGTCCCATACACAGTGTTATAGAGAAGCTTTAAGCCCATTACATCGTCAACACTGGGGGCTTCTGGCTCATCAAAGAGTGTCCCATCCGACAAGGAAAGAGTCACAGAAAATTCAGTCTCCCCACCATTGTGAGAACCGTAAAGCATGATAGAGTCGAAATCAACGCTGGCTTTGTTCGCCCAAGACCCATGGGGAGACATGATCTCATCAAACGGCACAGGAAGCCAATCGATACTTGGAAACCCAATGTTTCGGGCCTGCGTAAAGCTCCTGCAGACGCCATCAACTCCCCAGATCCGGTCCTGTGACATCCCATTGGTCAATTCTTCAAAATTCTTCATTTGGTTGCAGTGAAAGGTGAACACTTGGCTCCCATACAACCAATAATAAGGGTTCTGGTGCTCGTGATACATCCCAAATGAATGTGCGAGCTCATGAGCAAAAGTAGTGACCCGGAACTCCTCTGTGTCCCTGTGATACAAGCATACATACATTGCAGGCTTATTAGGACTCGGATGATTGGACGGGTTTAGATAGTCGTTAGAGGGGAAGCCAATGTCCGTGGCGAACAGTTCGGGGGTGTCGATGACCATCAACTGTTCATGTGGCGTGTTCTGGCATGCATCTCGGCCAACCTCCCTCACTTTGAAATCCTCAGGCAGCCCTGACGCATACCATAATCTCATCGCACTGCGGTAGTAATTATGATATTTCCTCCAGGTTGCCTCGCTTTCGTAGCACAGCTTGATGGTCTTGTCGGGCCAGAGGCGGGACCAGGGCTCTACTGGCTTGACTGAGACCCAATTGGGGAGCATAAATCGAGCATGCTCCCACTCAGGATGGCCAGCATGAACCGTGGGGGCGTTAAGCAGCTGGAGAAGGAGAATTGGAAGGAGAATCGCCCACATCTTGTGGAGTATCATGGCGTTCAAATCGTTCTCCAATGATGGACTTGAGAGGTAAATGTGCAGAACAAGGATCGGAATGGAGGAGGGAGATGATGGGGCGTAATTGCAAGATAGAAGGTGCAGAAGAAGATCATTATAATAGAGTATAAATGCAAAAGACTTACTCAGAATCTCGCCTCCTCTCTCTTTCACTGGAAAGCAGGCCGTTGGTTCACTACAGAAATTCACGACACATGCACGTGCACGGATATTTGTAAAACCCTAATCTAGCACATAATTCGAATACTATCTGGAAGCGCTAATTAATTTGAGATTTTTCGAACTTGCTAGTAATACTTGTAGGCTGAGCAGTGTTAGTCATTCCCAGTATCCTGAAAAGTCACGTCTAACATGCAAATTTTCATATTCTTCCACCCGTAATTCACAGTTCATTCCTGTGCTCCTTCCACTGCTTCTACAGGCTCATAATATCACTTGAGATAATTTTTGTGATGTTAGTTATGTTGAGCTTGCGCAAGCTTGGTAGGTGACACATCTAAACTAAACAGTCACAATCATTCCCCAGCATTCTGGGAATCCACGCCTAACATGCACAATCCCATCATAGTTCAGCCGTCATTTACAATTCATCCTTGTGCTCCCCAGGATACAAATTGAAACAAATGTTATAGTATTAGTTAACTCGAGCTTGCTCGATCTTGCTACTAACATCTGTAAGCTAATCAATCTCAATCATTCCCAGTATTTATTTTGAAAATCCACCCATCAAATTCTAGCCGTCCTTCACAGTTCATCTCTGTGCTCCTTCCTCCACTTCTTCCATCCCAGAATATCATCAACATCATTAGTCCCGGACTCAGGAATAGGGTTCCGCCGAGCAGGGTAGATTCGTGATTTGTTCTTTCCCATAGCCCCCCCTAGAGCGTCAATCATGGTACCATCATCCAGATCTATTGCCCAGACCATAGTCCCCCCAAGGCACCGCTTATTGGCATAGTCCATCTTCATCCGTAGTGTCTCTTGGTTATCGATGGAAACCCATTGATCCTTGTCCCAGGTTACGATGGTAACTGCTGCGTCTTTGTCCAGGGTCATCTCGGTCCCGCCTTTCTGAATGATCTTGTTGACCTCATACGTAGCCAACACGCCCGGTGTGCCGGTACATTCGCCTGCCCGTGCCCCTCCAGAGAACTCACAGCCAGGCTTCTTGCACCCGGGATTCTTCATTGTGAAGCTGCGACCGTAGAAACCTAGTCCAAGGTTAACTCTCTCTGGATTGATGTTATTGCGCCAGAGAAGTTCTAGAGCGCTGTTAATCTCCGTTAGATTGGTATGTGCGAAGGCGTACGGTCCAAGCTGCTTGTTCGTAGAGTCCCAAGTGCCGTCTGCAGATCAGTTAGCAAGGATGAAGTAACTCCGAAACCGCAGCCCGCTTACGAATATCATAAGACATGACGTTAAGGAAATCGACATGCGGCTCGAGATTGACAATGTCGAATCCCCTCAGGTACCAGTATGATGTCGGCTGCAGGAATGTTAACAATCTCATACATATCAGCAGGAGAGCCAATCTTACCAAAGTGATGGAGATCCCATACTTTCTCCCCGTCTGATTCAACTGTGCTCTGAGTCTCTTGACCAGAGTTACAAAATTGACATAATCCTCGGGTCTCCCACCCCGTTCGTCGGTCACAGGGTATTCCCAGTCAATATCTACACCATCAAACCGATTCTTCTGCATAAAGCTAATCAGAGATCCGAAGAACGTATCCTGAGCAGCCTCGGAAGCGGCCAGGTCAGAGAAAGTGGTTCGAGTCGGACCCGGGTCATTGAATGCCCATCCCCCAATGGCAATCCACACCTCGAGATGACTCTGTTGGCGCTTGAGTGCTGTTACGCCCTGGTACAATGACGCTGTGAGATTGTCCATGGGAGCGATGCGGAATGTCTGAGGGTCGATGGAAGCGAACGCGTAGTTGATGTGTGTATAGTAGCCGAGGGGGATATCAGGTGGACCCATATCTGTATGAAGTTGTGTTAGTCTGATGACTCGAAGGAGTGGTATCGAGCAACTCACTTCCACATGGGCGTTCCAAATTCCACCCTTCGTAGTATCCGACTGTCCGCCCTTTGGCACTGGTGCCGCTGCATTGGGGAGACACGACGGTGGCATCGCCACAGAAGTCCTTGGTGGTTCCTGTAGCAGAGTTGTTAGAGGAGATTGGGATAGGAATTAAATGAAGATAAGAACCCACCGCAGAAGCCGAACTTGCTACAACAAACATTTAGCGGACAAGTGGACGCTTGAGACCATTCTTTTCCCCAGCCAGGGTCACACTCGCTCTTGCGATCGCAGTTCGAGGTGCAATTTTTCCCGCAGAACTCGGGGCCAAAACCACAATAACCCGAGCCAGTGGAGTCACTAATTCAGTGGTCAGTTACTCATATATCGAACACAAAGTATACATGACAGGTGTCTCACATGGGTCCGCAGCATCCTATCTTACATCCCTTATTTTTGGCACAGGTGTACCCATCATCACTAGCAAAGGAAGTAGAAAGAAATTGGAAAGGATAGACAGGGTCGAGATTGGACGGAAGAGCTCCCCAAGCGAGATTGTGCGCGAAGACAGCGCTGGAAGTCAGTTGCCAACCGAATAGGCAGAGCAGAAACACCGAAATGACTGACATGTTGACAATGGTAGTTTGACAATGTTGGTAAGGAGAATCTTCGGAGATGAGATGTTGAATCGATGACTATCTTTTTAAGAAGGAAAAGGAACAGTGATTAACCCGGGTTAGGGCCATGGTGCGTTCACGTGTAGTTCATATTTTGCCTGGCTTTCACTTGAAACTGAACTTCACGCGAACAGAGAAGAATTTTTCATAGATATTTGTCATGGAGGATCGTGCCCGTAATCCGTGAATACGCCTCGATAATTTGAGGTGTTAGGGCTACTTACCGCCTCATGCTCCCTCGATATAAACTCGGTATTCTCCTCTTCTACAGCTTTTTTTTTTTTCTTTTCCTATCTCCCTGGTCTCTTCCATCCCATACGCCAGCTCATCTTCAAAGACATCCCGTCCTAGGATGATTTGGTTCATATTCCTGCTGGTGATTCTTGTCACTGGCACTCCCGACATTGATGCTCCTCCTAAAGATAATCCCCCCGAAACTCATCTCCCCATCACAGACCTCACCTTCATCCGCACATGGGCAGCCATTGGCGACAGCTACACAGCAGGTATTGGCGCCGGTGATCTGTGGTCTGACAGAAAAGAGGACTACAAATGTTCCCGCTACGACAAGTCGTATGTAGCCCTCCTGAAACATTTGTTGGGTCCACAGGTGGACAAATTCTCGTACAAAGCATGCAGTGGCGCTCGCACTGGCGACATCTACAACCAGGCCCGGGAGCTTGATAAATTCCACGACCTCATAGTCATGACTGGTGGAGGAAACGACTTGTGCTTGGTATACTAGCCTCTCCTTCTTCATTCATCTCACTATAGTGAACCCTAACTGACAGACTGCGCAGTCCGATATTATCACCACCTGCATCTTTCTCCCATTCAACAACGAAGAAAAGTGCCAGAAGGTCATTGAGTTGGCTCAATATAACATCAAGCAGATCCTCAAGTCCAACGTTCGCGAAGTCCTTGAGGTCGCTGTGGGCAAGGTGAATCAGTTTGGCATCATTATCTACGCCCTCTACGGCCAGTTCTTCAACACGGAGACCGATGACTGCGAGAAGAACCAGGACTGGGCCTTCCCTGGTCTGGCTCCATTCAATGCGTTACCTTTGACCCGCGAGCGTCGTCAGCAATTCAATCAACTGGTTGTCGACACCAACAAGGTCATAAAACAAGCCATCGATGATTTCGTCTTGGAAAAAGGAAAGTACTTCCCAAGAGTGCATATCCGTACCGCCGATTGGGATGCCTTCATGAAAGACGGCCTCAAAGGACAGTTCTGCGCCCCTGAATCAACAGGAAAATATCCCGATCCCATGCAGCCCAACTTGCACTTCTTCAAGCCCGACACCTCCATTGAACGCCACACGGAACTGAAAGCGAAGCGCGACAACATCACCGACACATCCACCTCCTCCTCCTCTACTGACGACCCTCTTTCCTCCTTCTACAACTCCGTCCTCTTCCGCTCGCCCAACCCCCCGGCAGCTGCCCTCCACAAGCTGAACCCCCGCGACCCCAAACCCCCAGGCTGCCCGGGTGACGGGGGTGTAGGATTCGGGCTCCCCGACCGCTGGGGCAAGTACTTCCACCCAAACGAGCTCGGCCACAAGACCATTGCCTCCTTCGTACTAGACGGCATATTTGCCTCACGGGCTGACTTCCTCGGCAGGAAGAACCCCATCTGCCAGCACAGTTTCGACGAATTCCGATGCTGGCAGCAAGACGGCCGAAAGGACTACGCAAGCGCGGACCTCCTGAACAAGAACTACAAGACCTACTGCAAGGAAGTAAAGCCTCCCAAGAAAACAGCAAACTGGAAAGACGAGCGCTGGTTCAACCAACTCACCCCAGAAACGCATTACTTCAGCATCCAACTCAGCGATGGTGCCACTCAGTTCGACTACGGACACTGCATCGAGTCCTTCGAACGTATCATCAACTCCTGCGACGGCAATGATCCGGAGAATCCGCTGAACTGGAAATTCGGGGGTCGCTGGACTCGCGGGAGCTATACTTACGAAGTTAACGTTCAGAACTCGTTCAAGAGACCTTGGCCGCCGACGAAGGAAGTCGGGGGTTTCTGCGATAGTAGTTTCAAGGGGTTTTTCCAAAAATATAATATGAGGGGGAGGGGATGGGCGACTTGGGATGCGGGCCAGGATACGCTCAAGCCGGCTATTACAAGCTGCGTGGGACTGGGACTTACGGGGTGGGACTTTAAGTATTTGGATGAGCCGGACTCTGATGGGAATGAGTGGGTGGCTAGTTTTAATACGCCTATCTTGACGGGTCCTCGGTGCTTTGATAATAATCGGGTGCAGTTCAACGCTGGGGGTTTCACGCGGGGGTGTCATGGGGTGCAGCGACATGATGCTTGAGGTGGATGAAGGGATGGATTAGGGTTACGGTTGAGATAGTCGGGACCGAAGGGGGATGAACTCGCTCATGTGACCGCTCGTGAAGATGAGAACATGTAGTCTAATAGTAGCCAGAGAAATAAGAGAAATCTATCTACTTGCTTGATTATTCTTTGGGTTCTATCTTCTAAAAATAATGGCAAAGATTGCTGTGTTTTAATCTAGTAATGAGTGTGGTGACAGGAATAACTACAGCATCATGATGTATCCGCGCCCGTCCAAACAACTGTCATTGGGAGTTACACAAATCCATATGTGTGTTTGAATCTATTTTTTACTCAGAAAGGAAATATATGGCATTTAGAGCTGCGAATCGTTAGCGTAAGTAAGTTATGTTCTGAAGGTGGTAGAGTAGTAGGGTTGTTTTGGCTGCTTGGCGCCTTAACACATCCCTTCAGCGCCTGCCAAGGATCTTCGGTCTTCGCGCCGGACACCTATAATATCTACCTACCCCATTGCATGATTCATTTAATTATTAGTTCTCTCTTTCCAATGACTTTGTTCATCTCTTCTTTGCTGCTCAGTCTGCACAAAAGATTGGCTCCAAGGTGCTTCTGGCTCTATGAGATGCAGTCCTTAAGTCGTGCAATGAAGCGTATATCCTTCCTTCGCGCCAAACCTTTACAGCTCTCGCGTTCACTATCTACTACGCCTTCCATTCCCCAACACGAACTTGTGGACGAGGAGCTCAGTCCTGGCTACAGTCCCAAACACTATTACCCTGCGAAGCCCGGGGAGGTTCTTGCTGATCATTATCAATTGCTGGTTAAGATTGGATGGGGCGGCGGTTCAACTGTGTGGCTTGCCCGAGATGTCGCAAGGCATGTATTTGACGTTCATACGTACCTGCGGCCACGGCTCGCACTTCTAACTTTTATTCGAGCCATTCGGTTAGATATCGATGGCAGGCTGAGCGCATCGTAGCCCTCAAAATCCTCAACAACAACAATCCCAGGGGCGCCTACCATGAGCGTCGTATTGAAGAACACATCGCTCAGCAGACTCCCTCACACCGCGGTCGTCCGGTTATCCGCAGTTACCTTAAAAGCTTTGAATTGAAAGGTCCCATCGGCAAACATCTCTGTCTAGCCTACGAGCCAGCACGGGAGCCCCTTTGGTTATACCAAAGACGGTTCGAAGGCGACAGGTTCAGTCTGCCGATGGTTAAAGCGTATATTCTTATCATTTTGGCTGGTCTCGACTACTTACATTCGGTGTGCAAGGTTGTCCATACTGGCAAGTCTGTCCACCTGATACCCAAAAGTCATTAACCTAATCCATTGTTGTCAGACCTGAAACTCGACAACATCCTCATACCCTTCGAAAATAATGATATCCTCCCGAGATTCATCAAGGAACAAGAAGAAGCTCAGTCGATGCAATGCAAGATAGACCCGGAAACCGGCCGCGTCATCTACCGCTGTCACAACAACTTCGGACCTCTTGACCCGAGTGGACTAGGCAACATTTACCCCCAAATAACGGATTTTGGCGCCGCTACTCTACTCGGTAACGGTGGAGACGATGGCGCCGTCAAACTAGGTACTCGTCCTATACAACCTGATTATTATCGCGCACCTGAAGTCGTCCTTGGCTGTGGTTGGAGCTATAGCGCAGATATATGGAATCTGGGAGTTATGGTAAGATATACATGCATTCAAAACGTACGTGATGGTCGAATAGTACTCACGTTCTGCAACAGATATGGAATATACTTGAAGGCACAGAGTTGTTCACCCAAGTACAAGATACGGAGGGAAGCTACCTTCCCAGATCACATCTAGCGCAGATGATAGCCCTGCTTGGGTCCCCGCCTAAGAAATTGCTTGTGATGTCAGAATCCATGGCACAGGTTGAGTGGTCACCAGCTATCATAGATGATAGGGGTAACGTCTACAAGAATAATAGGGAATATTTCGGTGGGCCTTTCTTTGATAAAGAAGGTATTGATACCCATTCCCCTTTTCACGACATTATGCATGTATCCTCCGATCCTAATTCATATAACGGCAGGCAACTTCCTCTACAACGATTTAGTACCCGCCCGGAAACTGGAAGATGCAGTCCCATCTCTAGAAACGAGCGACAGGGAAGCTTTCCTATCTTTTATCAAACAGATGCTCACATGGTTGCCTGAGGAACGAAAGACGGCTCGGGAGTTGATGGAGCACCCTTTCCTCAACGATTGAGGGGATGGTGAGCTGTGTTAGTATTACAGTTCAGCCAAGATGCCTATTGCGTTCTCACTAGGGGTCCATCCTACCAGTACTACTTCATATGCTCGCCTCGACTTGTTGGCTCTTAAGATGTGCTCGCGGTAAGGAAAGCAGCAGCTTAGACTGCTCAATCATCAAACGGTCAGAATAAGATATCCCTGAAGGGTATATATAATATTCCACTTTATAATACCGTCTCAATCTGGAGGATTAACCGAATGCGATCCAGACGCTCGGCATCCTTATTGCGGCGGAATTGGAAGGTTCGCTAAGCGTTATATGCGTGTCTTGGCAATACTTTTGGCCATTTACAGCCGGCATTTCCAAGTTCATGATCCGATTATCATCTTCTTTCTAGAAAGGCGGATGCGCATGGCCTGCTTGTGAACTTGATCTCGAGGCATATAGATCATGCTATCTATTTCTGTTCCTTGATGGTAAGCCAGATATGTAATATGATGATGAGAAGAAATTAATGATATAAAGTGTAGACTGTAGCGATGCGGAGTAGTAGCGATGTGCTAAATATATGAACCAATCAGATCAACCAGTCACATATTTAAAGGTACTAACAGTGAAGTACCTTCTAAACAGTCACTTGGTAATTCCCCAAGTATTGTGGAGTATTACTCGACTTGAGGAGACGCTAATGTTCAGATTGTTGTACTAGTTTACGCCTGAGTTATATAATACTCAGTTTATATGATATTATCATGTAAACAATCATCATGATGGTGTCGTGAGCGGCAAGTCTTGAGTTTGTGAGGCTGAAGTTTATCCCAACATTTATAGGATCGCATATACTAACCCTATATCTTAATAAAAGGGACTCCTATCATCTGTGAATGTCTACTACTGTTGCTGCTGCTGCTGCTGCTGAACGCAACAACTTTCAGCTGATCGTTGAGCTTTAAACGCTTCATAACTCCCATCTACAGCTACATGCACAGCAGGCATAGTAATCCGTACACATATGTACCTAACAAGCAATATAAACTAGTAGCAAATCCGACCCTGAAGCAAAATGAAAAGGAAAGTAAACTACAGTTTCGTCATGGCTATCATCATAATCATAAGATAATAAGAAATTATACCCTCCTCACTGCCCAAATCCATCCAACGTATCTACATTCCCAGCAAGTAGATAACCTCATCCACAACTCAAACTCCACCTCAGATCTGGTCTATTAAACAGTCAGCAACCCATCAGCCCCCATAAGTGTAGAAGTGGTGTATCAGGGAACATACTCAACGTCATACTCAAACTAACGTCCGTGTTCTCGACCATATCCGTAAACTCCTCGAAGCTAATCTTGCCATCACCATCCTTATCGGCCTCCATGATCGTCTTGTCGACAATCTGCTGCAACTGCACATCCTTCAAGTTATTGCCGACCATCATCTTCAGCACGATGAACAATTCGCCATTGGAGATAAACCCGTCGCGATCGATATCGTACACTTTGAATGCGAAGCGCAGCTTCTCTTCTTTGTTGCCCTTGGAACTGAAGGCTGATAACCCGGAGACGAACTCTTGGAAGTCGACGTCACCGCCGCCGTCTTCGTCGAAAATGGCAATCATTCTGTGGGTTCATTTCATTTCATTTGGTTATTATTCCGTCCTTTGTATTTGGGTGTAATCATTGTTGGGAGGTAGTATGGGGGGAAAGTACCTCGTGGCGAGCGGGTTGGAGGAGACTTGAGGAAGGGAGAGGAATTCATCGCGGTCGATGGTGCCGGAGCTGTCCTGTATGCATTCACATTATGGTTAGCTCTAGATATGGGAGGGAGGATAACGTGGAGAAAGGGGGAGTACCTTATCAAGCTTCATAAAGCGCTTGCGGAGACGGTCCACTTCATCGCGATCGACTGCCAGATTCCGATGATGTAGTCAGCAAGCCCGGACACCCCGATTGATATTGTTACTAAGACGCGACCGCTACCCACAGTTGGAGGCGGACACAATGTTGTCGAAGAGCTGAGAAGTTCCGACGGAGCCCCTGCGTCTCCGCGCATCGTAAAGGGCCGCGTTGTTGGGTTCGCTGGAATGATCCATGATGGGGACCGGAATGTGGCGATCACAGGGAAGGAGAGGGAGACGGAGAGGAGGATGCCGTTGGGAGAGGCAGAACGGCAACGGCAAGAACCACAGACTAAGTGGAGAAGAGAAGGGCTTAGAGGAGAGGAAGCTCTTCCACACTAATTCACAGTGAACTCTGGGGAATGATCACGACGGAACAATAGATTGATATCACTGCAAGCAACGAGGTTCCCCCAGCCGGCAATTTGATATCGGGCAGCCCCGCACTAACCGGAAACGGACAGGCAAGCGAACCCCTGAGGCCGTGCGCCGGGCCAAAACAGGCCACCGCCGGGTGACATTGCAACGTCAACTCATCCGCCAGTGCCAATACTACGAGATTTCCCTCGTCGATATCATCCCATCACTATCGACGTTCATCACGAAACTACATCTACGCGCTTTCGCATGATCGGCCCTATCGCCTGATACCAATTTTAGCCCCCCTCGCCCATGGTCGTTGCCCTTTTCCGCGCCCCAAAGTTCGTATGACTAGGTACGGGGGAATGGGGAGGACGCGCCCGAAAAAGCTCACCTCCAAGGCCTCCATCCCCATAGTTCGGGAGCACGACATAGATCTTATCGACGATGAAATCCAAAATGCCCTACAACAGATCGAGACCGGCGTGGAAAAGGCTGAGGAATCGGTAAGTGATGCCTCATCCCCGACCGTTGCGAGCATCCCTTTGCATATCACGTGACATCATCCCGACCTCACCCCATCGTGAAAATTTCGCACCCCGGCAGAAACGCCACAACAGCGCCTGCTAACGCCTGTTCTTGTATAGGAATTCCATCTTCAGGTCGCCATAAATGCGGCTGCGCAGGGAAAAGTAAAAGATGCCCATATTCCGACGCCGGAAACGGTCCTCAGTAACCTGCGCTATGATGAGCTCTACCCGCCTATCTTCTCGCAACCTGCGACCTACATTCGCTTCTCTGCTACGGTAGAGGACTGTTGCGGAGCCCCGTATTGCATGGATGAGGAAGACGATGTCTTCCTCAAGATCTTCAACCAAAAACGCGATGCGGGTAGTCGGTGCACCGAGGACCAGTTCGAAGAAGTTATGAGCTTCTTCGAGCTCACTTCGCGAAAGGAGCAGCCCTATGCTTTTGTAGATAATTCGCCCCTCATGAGCTTCGAAGAATTTCAACAGGCGATGGATCCAGCTGTAGAGGAGAGTGTAAAGCGGTTCGCCAAGGACATCTATGAATACTGGAAGTCCAGGAGAACCAGCAACGGGAACGAACCCCTACTTCCTACACCGAAGGTGAGTCCCCTCGCTAACTGCAGTCATGAGGTTTGGCAATGTCGGAGTGCTAACCGATTACCCGCAGGTTGAGGCTGGTCGAGACACCGATGATACAGACCCGTATGTCTGCTTCCGTAGGCGTGAGGTGCGGCAGACGCGCAAGACCCGTGGCAGGGATGCGCAGAGTGCCGATAAGCTGAGGAGACTCAGGAAGGAGCTGGAAGATGCTCGACAGATGGTCGCTTTGGTGCGCCAACGCGAGCTAGCGAGGAAGGAGATGCTGGCCATCGAACGCCAAGTGTTCTTGCAGAGATCGGAGGTCAAGGAAATGAAGAGGAAGCTCAACATCAAGGACGATGATGAGGACCTCATCAACCAGAAGGTGAGCCCTATGCAATCCCGCGACCGTTTGCTTCACATGCTGATGACTGCAACAGCCGAAGAAGAAGCCAGTAGAAGCACCAGCTGTGCAACGCCCGGCCGCGCCTCAACTGCGCATGCCCCCCAAGGCTGGTACACAAGCTGCAGAAGACTTACAGCTGTTGGAGGATGTTCAGGCAGAGAAGGAGAACGAGATTCAGCGCGATATCAAGCAGAATATCGCCAAGCACATCAAGTGGAACGAGGGCTATGTGGATTTCACAAGAGCACCTCTCTCCCCGTCGCCAGAGCGAACATTCGATGCTGCTTCTTTCCGCCCTGCAATCACCACTCAACTGCCCACGCCACCATCATCGGAATCGTCCGATAATATGCTGGATTCGCCCTTAGATACCACGAGTGCCATTGCTCTCCGAGATAAATTAGCTCCACATGCCATGGAATTGAGTGTGGACACCAGCAAGATGCCCTCATTCAGACGACGTATCGGGCGTGGCGGTCGTCTGTGGATCGATCGTCGAAATCTGGTGTCCCGTTGTAGAGTCGAAATGGATCCGTGGAAGGCCGATCGGTTCAAGTATGATCAGGAGGACTCGGACGAGGATCTCGAATTTGAAGGAGATCAGTACGATATCCAGATCATGCAGCATCGGGCGATCATGGCAGCCAAAGCCCGAGACCAAGCAGCGGCGGCAGCTCAAGCCCATGCGCAGGCGCAGGCTCAACAAGCTCAGGCTCAGGCTCAGGCTCAACGGCGATTGCAGGCCGAGCAGACGTCGGCGACCAATCCAACAAGTGGAGGGCAAACCATGGGATCCAATCCCGGGCCTGGCGCCATTGCCTCCACTTCAGAGACCTAAGCTGGGCTTTGTTCTTCTCCCCTCTCTCTTCCCTTCCGATTATGTTTTTAATCTTTCACCCCATGTTTCGCATCTGGCCGGCGTTGTTCCTTCGACATATTCTCTTACCCTCACCTGTACTTTTACCCCCTGGACGTCCTGATTCTTTACCCCATACCCCGAATTATTCTTTTTTTCTTTCCCGGAGCGCTGGAAAGCGTTCGAACCTCAGGATGATGTTGCCGGATGATGCTTTGTTTTATGACATGACCCTGGTATTATGCGAAAGTTAGTGTACATAGCCAGTTTTGTCCTCTTTTTTCTTTTCTTTCAGCCGAGCAGTCGATAGACTCGTGTACGGATAGTGAGGCTATGAGGTCAGCGACGAAGAAGATAACAAAAAACAATATTAATTAGATGAAAAAGGAAAAATCAAACTTTTTGGTCTTATCCATCATAATAAAACATTTTTTCGGTTTCGAGAATAAGCGTCACGTCCTCAGAGCTTTATTCCTCTGCGGTTCGTCGCTGTCGCCATTCGCTGCCCGCTTGAGAGGGTTGCTCTGGAGTGCGGCCCCGAACTGGTTGTTGAGCATGAAGGACAGATTGTACAAAACCTCCTTTTCGCCGAGGCGGACCTGAATCGCCATCTTTTTGCGACGAACAGATCCTTCCACCGGACCCGAGGCTTCAAGCTGCGACAACTGGGCGAGGAGCTCCTGGTCCTGGGCGATGGTCGTCGCATACTGGGCCTGGTTCAACTGCAGAGCCTTGGCCAAGATAGCGGCTTCTGAATCACCAAAGGACGGCTTGGGAGGCTTGTTCTTCGAGCGCTGCTTCTCCAACTGGTCAGACGGGAGCGATAGGGTCTTCAACAATAGCAAGAGCTCATCCGGAAGAATATCAGTCAACGGTTCCTCAGGCGAAGAAGGCCTTGGAATGGTGTAGCCATCGTCAAGGAGTTCCAAGTCTTCGAGGAATTGAAGCTAACGTAAGCGTCAGCAAGCGGTTTGTATCAGAGGGTGTTTTATTGTCAGCGATTTACCGGAGGTTGGGTCTCAATATCAGCACTTCCAAGGCCAGCAGCCTGGCATATTTGGTTCAATGACAGTTCGACAACGTCGTATTGGGCATAGTTGTCAGTCACGTAACCGTACCGTCTCAGGAGGTCAGAACGTGGGATCTCCCCGTAGTCGTTGAAGATCTCCTCGCCCGCTTTTATAGGCTTGATAGCCTTCATGACCAAAACTTCTTCTTCTTGGAAAAGACGAGCCTAAGTAGACAATAATTGTCAGCGATCATGTAGCGAGAATCACAGATCAAATAGAACCCACATTGTTGCGATCGGCATCCGCATTGAGCAGATCGGCCAGAGGGACCATGCCCTTGGACGACTGCTCTTCTTCTTCGTCGGTCAAATAGCCGTCTTCGCCATCACGCTCACCCTCTTCATCTTCCGGTTTCTCGATGTCAAAAGCGTAGGCCATGATAAGCGATCCCATAGTGTGTGCGAGGTGAAGGAGGGCCTGGGTTCCAGCGTCTCCCTCGTACGAGGCGACTCCGTCGATGGGAGGAAATAGGGAAGGATTCGCTCGCACGATAGGAGCAATTGTCTCGAGAATGGATTCCTCGGCTCCCTGCTTCCCGATCTTCTCGACAATAGCGCTGCCCTGAAGCTCCTCAAGCTCGGAGGCGGACCAGAACATGAGGGTGTCAAAATTCCGAGGAAGGACCCGGAAGTATGAAGCCCAAGCAGACTGATCGCCTTGAAGATACTCGTAGATCATGACAACCATGAGAGATAACCAAGGACCAAGGTCGTCGAGGTTCTGGGAGAGCAGGTTCTTCAAGTTTGAATTCTGAACCGAGAGAACGTGTGCGCGGGGGATGGTAAAAAGCTCTTCACCTTCGTCGAGATCGGACTGAGCCACTGGTAGAGTGACACGAGGACATCAGAGAGGGGGCCACTTCCAAGAAAAAACGGGTTTCATGAGACAGGCACGAGCGGGATAAAACCTCGTCTGGGATGGGAACCTACCGACACCTCTGCCAGCAGCGTGAGAGCGCAGATCTGCAATTTGGATCTTGGGATTGATTTTGACGCCGGGCTTGCCAGCCAGCCAAGTGAGGAACTCATTTGACTGGTGCTGGAAGTTTCCCGGGTCGGGAAAATGGGTGGTGGAGGACATTTGGGAGGTTGATGGAGGAGAGATTGTGTGAATAGTCTCGACCTAAGAAAAAGGAAATTCGGCACCCCACACCACTTCTGTGTTAAGGACGGCTCAGGAGTGAAAAGAGCGGGAAGAGGAATAATTTCACAGCAGAACAAAGAGAAGACGATGCAGCTGCTGGGATAGCCAGCCAGGTGGTAGAAGGAAAGGGGAGTGTGTGGGAGGGTGAGAGAGTAAGAGAGATTGACGGGGGGTGAAGTTGAGGGGATCAGGCGGTGCTCCGTAGTAGTAAGTAAAGTAACTAATTAGTAGTAATTAGTTGGCAGGCAAACGGGCGTATGGAAAGTATGGTACAGTAACTGGTGTTCCAGCAAAATGACAGTCGGATAAACGCTGCGGCGGACCAAAACGGGCCAATCGATAACACGCCTGATAACCTTCCGAACCAGCACCGAATTTGCCCCTCCGCGACTGGCTCATGTCCGCGGCCTCGAAATTTTGACCAGCCTGTAACCACACCTTCTCAGGTATTGGTCCCTTATTCTTTTTTCCGTCATTGAGCCAGATACCCCTCCCCTGCACATCATGATTTCCATCGGTCTGGAGAGCTCCGCCAACAAACTGGGCGTGGGCATCATGGTGCATCCCGACGATGGCAAGCCCCCGCAGGTGCTGGCCAATGTTCGGCACACCTATGTCACCCCTCCGGGTGAAGGATTCCTTCCCAAGGACACCGCCCGTCACCACCGCGCCTGGGTCGTGAAGCTGGTCAAGAAGGCTCTTCGTGAAGCTCGGATCTCCCCCAAGGATGTGGATTGCATCTGCTTCACCAAGGGCCCCGGCATGGGAGCCCCTCTTCAGAGCGCCGCCATTGCGGCCCGCATGTTGAGTCTACTATGGGGCAAGGAATTGGTGGGCGTGAATCACTGTGTTGGACGTATGTGTTATGCCTAGTACTTGATCGGTTTATTTATCTATCAGTCCCCTATCCTATCTGCACCGTGCGGGGAACCCTTTTGGCCCTTCTCATCCCTTGCATAGCTTGGCCCTCCTATTGCAACCATCGCTGACAATGTCCCGGTTGTATATATAGATATCGAAATGGGTCGATTAATTACCGGTGCTACAAATCCCGTCGTCCTCTACGTCTCCGGAGGAAATACCCAAGTCATCGCATACAGCTCTCAACGGTACCGCATCTTCGGCGAGACCTTGGATATCGCAGTAGGAAACTGCTTAGACCGCTTTGCGCGCACGCTGCGCATTTCCAACGATCCTGCCCCAGGATATAACATCGAACAATTAGCCAAGAAGGGTAGGAAACTGGTCGATCTACCGTACACGGTCAAGGGAATGGACATTTCCATGTCCGGTATCTTGGCGGCCATTGATGGACTAGCAGTGCAGTATGGCTTGGACGGAGACTGGAATGACGACGAGGATGTTGCTAACAATGCATCTACATCGGACGATCTGGAGAACGCGAAACCGACGCGTGCAGATCTATGCTTCTCGCTCCAGGAAACGGTTTACTCCATGCTGGTCGAGATCACAGAGCGCGCCATGGCACATGTCGGCTCCAAGGATGTTCTGATCGTCGGTGGAGTGGGCTGTAATGAGCGCCTGCAGGAAATGATGGGCATCATGGCTCGCGACCGCGGCGGTACCATTCATGCGACCGACGAGAGGTTCTGTATTGATAACGGCATCATGATCGCGCAGGCTGGATTACTGGCATATAAGTCCGGTAGCACAACGCCCTTGAAGGATTCCACTTGTACTCAGCGCTTCCGGACGGACGATGTCTTTGTCAAATGGAGGGATTGATTTTCTATTTCTTGTTCCATTGGATGATGATGATTTAGATGAATGAGATGAATATAATCTATAGAGTCATGAGCAAAGGTCTCCGATTATACGGGATTCGGCGCCCGGAGTGCATCCGTACTTCCAGGCAAACTGAGGCAAGGGCTAGTATTGATGGAAGCCCGCTTGACCGCATTCTTGTTACCGAGTAACGATTGGCGGGATTTGACTCAATGTTGCCACGGATTCAGATGACAGGTTGGGGTCAAGAATATCAAGTCGATCATGACTAGCTGTCCCTTCGACGGGTGGAAACAAGCGTTTAAAGGCGTACATCATACACTCCTGGTTGACCGAAAGCAGCAACGCCTATGTAAAACAGCCGCGCATTTCAGCTGCAAGCAAGGTTAACAACAGGGGCTTAGCTATCAAATACTTGTCGCTAGCCATGCATCGTTCTGAACACCAACAACAACAATGGTCTAATAATGGCGCTTTCTGCACCGCAAATAGTTCGGACATCGAGCAACCATAGGGACGTAAATCATGCAAAGTGGCTTGGTCTTGGGTTCCGGCTATGTGCATCTCTGCATGTCGAAGTATATATACCCAAAGGAGATATCTGTTGTTAAACCCCCCTGGTTCTGCGAGGGCCTCGGTCTCTTATCCCCCAGCTCGATGCGCAGTTATAGCATACAGTCGACATGCGGGATGCTCGGCCCCGCTCCGCAGCCAGAGTAATACAGTCCCCTTCTGGCTGAATAGAAGGCGTGAGGGACGTGCAGGGCATCTTATCTCGTTGACAGGCTAATCCGTAATATCACCTGTCGGTTTGTACAATATCGTTGTGACGTACTACATACCATTAGTTCTGTGAGTCCGTGAAAAAAGATGTGCCAACTTACCTTCCGTTTGTAGCGAGTCGTTACGCTGGTGGCAAGCACACCATTCTTGATACTGCTAGTAGCAAGATGATTTAGGACAGTGTGGTTAGGGTAGTTAAGAACGCTGCTATCGTCCTTCATGGGTGTGGTGCCGTTCAAGATTGATTTGCCGAGGAACAGCGGAAGACTCGGCGGTGTAGGCGCATCCCCAACGATATTCACAGCTTGCTGGTACTCTGGTGTTTCTTCCTCGCGGTCTAGATCAAGCAGAAATTGGGGAATAACACCACGGAAGTCACCAAGCGGGATCTCCTCTGGCTCTTCTCTGTCTGACTGTTCCTCCACGGTGGACCCCACTTGATCGTTCCCGACCGGCCCAGGAATGACCTGCGGGGGTCGAACGCCATCAGGGACCTTATCGCTTTCCCTCCGTGATCGGTTGACATCATCAGCACTGATTTCAATGTAGTTGACAAGGTGGTTCGTGAAATCGACTGCCGTGGGGAGATTATCTGAAGCGCGCATTTCACCATCGACAATGAATTTCAAATGATGCGTGCCCGGGCGGAGGTTCAGTCTCGTAGACAAGACACCGGGGTTGTTCTCACTGTTTATGCAAGGTTCCAGTTAGTTCTAGTAACGTACAACATCCCAGATAACGAGTAATGCGACTGGACATATGCGGAAGTGGACGAGACAGCATGGCATACCTCCGATGTAGACGGAATTTCTTTTCCCAGTTCACAAACGTTCCCGTAACGTAGACCTTATCACCAGGGGCAGTCCACTCTATCAAGGTCGGCACAGCTCTTCCCACGCCGCTCGGAGTATAAGGTTGAAGTTCATCCAATGCTTCATCGTCATCGACCGTGGCGCCACTAACGGCAGATTGTCTCGATTCGTGGTGTTCATCCAACAAATGGTCGGGTGCAACCGATCCCATATACGAATCCTCCGGACCAATAATGGGCGAACCGGGGGTGGCTGTGGCATCTCCAATGGGCAGAGGCATCCGCGGTGGGCGTTGAAGATGAACAGATGCACTGTAATAGGCATGGGGAGGAGGGCCCGAGGGTGCTACAGGGTCACGTTTTGCGGCCGCCCGAGATCCCGGAACTTGAACGGGGTTGGACGGATCAGGTGCAGGAATGTCTTTGGAGCGAGTATCTGGTTTCTTTGGGACCTGACGGTCTGGCCGATCTAGATTCCGCGTCGGTAGATCCGTGACATTGCGGGATTGTAGACGCTGCTGAACGGATGGTTGAGCTTGGGAGGTCGGGTGGCCCGTTGCGGTTTCTCTAGTGGCGGAGGGGTCGGCTGCGGAAGCCTTGGTGGTGCCCGATGGTGTATGAATCGATGACCGGCGAGCTACTTTCTTGTCCCCCGCCGCGGCCGAGGGAGCCGACGGCGATTGGGCATCTCCGGCAGGGGGTTTGGAAGGATTGTTGCCCATTTGGAACAGGGAGCCGGTGGAAGGCGCTTGTAGGATGGAAAGGGAACTGAGTCAGGCGGGTTCAATGCCGTATTAAAGACAAGAGACGAGTGGTGGGTGGGTTCTGTGGTCAAGGTTGAGATGCCAGCATCAGATGGTGTCGGGGTTTGGAAGGCGGAGGGGTAACGGAAAATAAAGAGGGAGTCGGGGCGAAGGGAAAATATCGGGAAGACAGAGGCCTTCGGATGCAGATGAGCTCTAGATTATATGCTGACCGGGATAGGAAAGGCGCCGGCTCATGGATGGGGTGGAAAGAGGTATATAAACAGAGCAGCGGGCGAGAATCGAAGAGAAAGAATGCGATGGGCAGCAAGTAAGAGTTGATGATGTCGATGTCGTCGACCCCGGACGGGCTAGTCCCATGGAGAAGTTCCCCTTAGGGTTTAGGGCTCCCTCCTGGTTTCCTCCGACGGTCGGCTGTCATCTCCGATGATGACTTGGTATATTTAGTTGGCTAGTTTATAGTAGCACATTCTGTCATCTCAAAGAAGATATACCAATTATGCTCATGGCATCCTTCCATAAAGGTGTATGAAGTCCCATGTGATGAAAGAGGATTGGTTTCACTCATACAATACTAAGAGTAGTCACTCATAACGATAACAATCGATGAAGCAAACCAGCCAGCCAACCAACACATTTCTGCCACAACAGACCGCTTACCATACAAACAGCGCCATCATCCAACCCCAGCATTATTCACTCTATATTTACTTTACTGCCGTATCCCTTCCCATTGCACAGCAAAGTCATGCCATAGGTTCCCTCGGTTGACGCACGGGGAATGCTCCATGTAACCAACCAGCCGCTTTCTGGAACACTTCAGCCACGCCAATGACTTGGGTCACCGTCTTGACAGCGACCTTCGGTGCCGTGCTCTATGCTCTGGCTTACCTGGCTTCCTGGATCTATGGGCTATTCAGTGTACTAGCCTCGCCCCTGTGGATCCTAGGCCATGCCCTCCTTTATGTGCTCCTTTCTCCGCTAAGGCTTTTACTCAAATTCGAGGTATGAATGGCTCGATTTTTCATCTTGTTAAGCAAGTACTGGTCTCAACCCGAGGAATGAACACTTATAGTTCACCTAGGCCATTCTTAGCTACCTTACAGTAGCCGCAATAATGGGGGTGGTCCTGGGAATATCAATACACTATGGGTCGTCGGTTACTGTGGAGGCGATTCATCGATGGTTTAGTTCCCGGAAGATTAACACAGCTCCCCGTAGACGGGATAGTTTTCATGGACGTCTACTTGACAAAGTCAAAAGAGCTTCTTCTCCGAGCGATTCCAACGCATCCGACGAGGATACTTCGGAGTGATAGACCGAATGGGGGAGCATGGCATCGTCTGGGATTCTCGAAGAGGAAGAAGGAGCCGGGCCGAGGATTTGACGGGCGCTTTTAATCCTGAGCCTAGTCTAGGGCATGTGGGCGGAAACTGTAGTGATTACGTCTGTACTATATATTTTAGCATTAGCATCTGTTAGTTTATTTCGCAGTAGACCATAACTTCTACAAGATATGAGCGGTTCGACCGAATGCATGACAGATACTAGCGGAGGCAGACGGGATCCTCCCTGGCGGATGGGGCTGGTAATCTCCGGGTTAATTGACGCAATCAATCCGCGACAGCCTGGATGGACCCTGCCGCTTATCCAAATTCCCCACTGCAATTATACTTCAATGAGACAGACAGAGAGTCACCCTCATGTTATCTTAGTAACAATTGGCATGGTCTTCATTCTCTACTAACTACTCTATCACTATTACTTAAGGACAGATTCCAGTTCATATTTAATATTTAAGACTTACCCTAACCATCTACTCATTTGCTCTTCTTTTCCCGCCCCTTCTCACCGTAATACGAACTACTGGGGGAAGCACGGGAAGGAAAAAAGTATAAATATTAACTTAAGCATTACACTGCAGCCCATTTTATTCTACCTCTACCATGGTCCACCAAAAAACACCGATGTCATCACTCCTGATTGTTTATTTCCACTTGACATGAATCATACCCCTACCACTACACTATTACTCTCCCTATTCAGGACAAACTACTTCTGAAGTGGACTGCTTATCACCGAGCATCGTCCGGTGGGTCTCTCGAACCATCAACAAGAACAACCCCTCGGTCTCGAACGGACCATCCTGCAATCTGTCCAGGGTTCGCTTCGCTTGTTCATCTCCCTCCGTCTCTCAATCTTCCCTTGCAAAAACAACCCCCCCGAACACTCATTTCCTTCCTTTGTTTCTAATCTCAAGGGTGCCCTGCAGTTCCTATCTTCTTTGACACGCATGTCTTCTCCATTCATCAGCCTCGTTACAATTCCTGTCGAACCTTGCTGACGCCTTCCCGAACGCCTCCAATGCCTCTTCTCCTGCGCTAGCGGTGTCTTTTCCGATATAACGACTACGTCAGACCCTCCGTGTTATACTTTGCGATCTTGACGAGACCACGAACTCGTTGACAGCCGTTGACATTCCTGTCGCAGCATACCAAACACAATGTTCCCCTCTCGAGCGTTTCTACGAGTGCGCTCCCTACTACTTGCGATATTTATCCTATTAACATTCGCTTGGTCCTATTCACGATGGCGCAGCTATCCTCTCCCTGAGCAAGTGCAATCCATACAAACACACCAACAGCCTCTCTCGAGCAACAGACATACCGAAGGTCACATTCAATTCTGGCGCCAATTTCAGCCACTTCTGACCGCTCATGAGCCAAAATGCGAGCCACCTCTGAGATTAGGATCGGCGCCGTCAATCAGATTCGAACAGTCGAATCCTGAAGACCGCCCGGAGCTGCTGGACATGCTCCCATTTGACGTGGATATGATGAAAAATGCACACAGCGGATTTGTCGATGCAATCAATACCAACCCGCCCCAACTAAACTATACCAAGAATACGCGAGGCTTGCTTTCCACCGCGGGGGGCTCTTACCTACCCGTGCTGGTGATCTCGCTGCGAATGCTTCGCAGAACGGGCTCAAAGCTACCGGTCGAAGTCTTCCTCGCAAACGAGGAAGAATATGAAGATCACATCTGCGAAGTCGTCCTGCCATCGCTGAACGCGCGATGCGTGCTCCTGTCGGAAATTCTCGACGCCGTCCCTGGTGATATGAGAGTCGAGAAATACCAATTCAAGCTTCTCGCAATGCTGTTCTCGTCATTCGAAGAAATTCTCTTCTTAGACGCCGATGCATTCCCGCTTCACCCACCGGAAATGCTATTCGTCAATGGGCCCTTTCCCTCGACGAACATGGTCACTTGGCCTGACTTCTGGGCATCTACCGTTTCATCCTACTACTATGAAATCGCCTCTCAGCCATATCCCGAGAACTCAGTCCGACAGTCCAGCGAATCCGGGGAGGTTTTGATATCGAAGAAGACGCACATGAAAACCCTTCTTCTAAGCACCTACTATAACATGTGGGGTCCCGATTTCTACTACCCATTGCTTTCGCAAGGCGCGGCCGGGGAAGGCGATAAAGAAACCTTCGTCGCAGCCGCCATGACCCTTCAAGAGCCATACTACCAGGTCTCGGAGCCAATTTGCGCCATCGGCCACGGCACACAGGGCGGTCTGGCCGGCTCTGCGATGGTGCAGTTCGATCCAATAGAGGACTATGCTCTGACGCAGAAGGGCGAGTGGCGGGTTCATGGGTCGAAGGCGCCCGCCCCCCGAGCATTCTTTATTCACGCCAACTTCCCCAAGTTCAACCCGGCCACAGTGTTCGACAAACAGGCCGTGAACCCGGCTTTTGCAGATGACGGGAGCTATACCCGCGCATGGACAATTCCCAACGAAGTAATCAAGGCCTTTGGCACCGATATTGAAAAGCGCTTCTGGGACGAGATTCTTTGGACGGCGTGCGAACTCGAGGATAAATTCAGTACTTGGAAGGACAAGAAGGGCATCTGCAAGGGGGTGAAGAACTATTGGAACGCCATGTTCGGTATCGGGCATTCTCGTTGAGTTAGGGTCGGGTTCCCGAGTTTCAGCCTTAGCGCTGGTCGCTTATGAACGATCTTCAACGAGACACGCAGTGACGAAGACGATTGGCTTATATTAAGCAATCAGAGCGACATACCTACGCCCACGTCTCATCAAAGACACACGAACCAAGATACCTTGGACCAGCCTTGGATACATTCTATACCACATATACAACAGACAATTTCAGAAATCAGGACCACAACCTTTTCATCCTCGACAACATACAGATACTCAACCACGCCATGTCATGCCATGCCACCAGCCTTGCTTCTTTTCATGTATCATATACCAATACCCATGCAGAGCTACACCACACCACACTACTATAAATACAAACCCGTTGATGTAAATCTCTATACATACAATCTAAGCTAATGATACAATCCAGAGAAGAGAATCATATACCTCCTCCACAACCTCCTAAAAATACACACTCCCCCTAATAGATAATCACACCCTCTCAATAGTTCCCGCAACCTGCGCCTTCCTAACCGCCTCCCTAAACAACTCCTTGCACGGCACTCGACTGCCCAACCTCGCGCACAACAAAAACGCCCCACTCAACTTCCGATGCAAACTATACGTCTCCTCCGGCGGAGGCGTCAATCTCTCCCGAATCATAAGGGGAATCAACCCCCTCACGCGATCCGTAATAGTCTGATTTCTAAAGTCATACACATCCGGCGACGACTCCATGAACGGCTCTGCAATAGTAATAACGGAAGTAACGTGCGCATCGACCATCTCCTGACTCTCGTGACCAGTAAGATATCCCAGTTCGCGGGACAGCTCCGCACAGCGTAGGCGATCGTTCCTCGCTGCCGCGATCAGCGTGTTCACATACTTAGTGATGAACTCATCGGGGTATTCGCGCGAAGCGCCGAAATCGAGCAGTTCGAGCCGGTTCGTCTCGGCGTTGTAGAGGAAGTTAGTCCAGTTGGGGTCCGTCTGCATGTATTTGAATTCGGTGATTTCGCGAAGACACAGGCGGAGGATTTGGGTGCCGATCCAGTCGCGTTGGGATTGGGTGAAGGTTTGGATTTTGGTGACGGCGATGCCGTTGAGACGTTCCATTGTGAGGACTTGTTTGCCCGAGGCTTCGGGGATGATGGCGGGGATGTGGAAGACGGGGTCGTCGGCGAGGAGGGAGCGGAAGTGCTCGCCGCAGGTGGCTTCGCGGTGGTAGTCGCATTCCCAGGCGAGTTCGGTGCGGGCGTTGGCGATGGTTTTGTCGAGGTAGAGGCCGCGTGGGAGGAGGCGGGAGGCGGTTAGGAGGATGGAGAGGTTGTTGAGGTCGGAGTCGATGGAGTCGGCTACGCCTGGGTATTGGATTTTAACGGCGACGGGTTGCCCCGTTGAGGCGAGGACAGCGCCGTGGACCTGGCCGATGGAGGCGGCTGCCATGGGGATTTCGTCGAAGGAGGAGAAGAGGTCGCGCCAGTTGGGACCGAGATTGTCGGTCAGGACTTTGTCGCGTTGCGAGGCGGGCATGTAGTCTGCGCGATCTTGGACTCGTTGGAGGACCTCGTGAATGGAGTCGGGGAGCATTTTGCTGTCTGGAGGGGGGTGTTAGAGGGAGGTTGGTTTAGGGGTTAGATGGTGTGTACCTTGGATGCTCAGCATCTGCCCCAGCTTGAGGGCCGCCCCACGCATCTTGGAGAGTTTGGCTACGAGACGTTCCATGTTCCCTGCGCTGAACATGAGGGACCCGGTGCTTTCGGATTGGCTCCCTGTGGCTCGTCGGAGGCTTTCGCTGACGGCGCCAAAGGCCATGGATGTGGCTAGGCCACCGTATTGCCATAGCCTGCCTAGTCGGGAAGCTGGAACGCGAGACTCAATCATCTGGTACGTTGCCTGCTGCTTCATGGCTGCGGCAGTCTCAGGTTCCACCTGCGGGCACATTTTTAGATATAGACTTCCAGTTGGTTGCGGCTGCTTTGCACTTACTGCTGTTGTTGACACAATGTCATCCACCACCTCGGCCTCTTCTTTCGACAGTCCCTCCTTCCCGATGGGTTTGACGTCAGGCGGGGGCATCGGAGTCCTTCCTTTGTATCTGAGATCCGCAGCAGCTTGCTGAGATAGCATCCTAGCAACCTTGGGGCTGTGGAATATCTCCTTCATCATATCCTCCGAAATCTTCTCCTGTTGTTCCGTAGGCTGGGTTGCAGACGCGGCTTTCTCGGCACCGACGGGGGAGTGGAATACGTCCGCATTGATTTCAGTGTTGATGCCTGTTTGCGTGTCGCTGGATGTCTTAGGTAGCTTAACCCTAGGAAGACCAGACGAGCCGGGGGTTGTGTGTGTGGAGGGTTCATAGAACACATCTTGCTGCTGGCTAACATCCAATTGACTAGCTCCGTAACCGGTGGTCTCGGCTGTAGACGACGGGATCTGTGACTCTGCCTGTCGTTGCGCTTTCCTGGCCTCATCCGGGGAGAGATTCGTGTGCGTGGGGGATGAACTCGGGGACCGGGGTGGCGGTGCGGATGCCGTTTGGGGGGGAGAAGGATCATCATTGAACCGCTTTGCTAGGGCTGCCGCAGCTTGTGCGGTCATACAGAGGCCATCCGCTTGGCTTTTGATGCCTTTGGTGAGG